GACAGCAGATAGACATGACATTGTGATGGGGAGATGATCGATCTTATTAAAAGGCGGTGTAAACAAACCCTAAAGACCTGAAGTTTGGTGTTTATTCGTTCCCTTGCGGCAAATTACAGTATTTGTGAATGTAATCCCCTATTTCCGATGGTACCTTCAAGGTCATGTTAGTTCCCAGGCGATTGTTCCTATTAATCAACCTCCACTGCGAAAACTATTTACTTCCATGCGCATCAAACTAAAGAGGACTTATTTAAGTCTCTTATGTGCATCCTGACACATTGGCTCATTATTACACTTATCCTTTGAAAATTTGAGCCTTTGTATCATTTTTTTCCCTTAATATCCGTAGTGCAACGTGAACTGACCATGATTTCCTGTGTTTTAAATACTCAGTAGTTGATTGGACGTAACCACTTGACCTTGCTGATTCACTTCATGCCAATCAACTATTTCGATAAATCACACTCCTCTCTTTTAAAGCAGCCTGTCTTCGAATTCGCCGTTTTATTACAAATACACTTGTGTGTTTTCCATAATTTAGTTTAGTAAAATAAGCTCCCATAATTCCCTAGAATTCATCCTGAAACCACCATATTTTTAAATGCGATAATACGCCATCGCGACACCCCAAGTACCCACTGTTTCAGACTACCTCGAGAGGACTATGGTAATAAAATGAGGAATTTGTTTTAATCACAACTGCATTTCTTTACCCTAATTCCGTTGCCGACTCACTGGACAGCCACGTGACACACACAATTGTGTTCGACTTAAAAAAAAACAATCCTCGCATTTTGTCAATTCTTATAATTTGAAAACAGCACGCATCAACTTGACCAAAGTCTGCGGGAACTTTCGGGAGTAAATTGTTAATAAGAGTATATCAAACTAACCTCTGTGACACCTATTCCGCAATAAGCTGGTAAGATGGGATTAAGTATTTTGCACTAATTTGACTAGTTGAGAGCGTCTGGCTAGACAGCAGAACTTTGATATATTGCCCCAGTTGGCAAATCGCGGTGTTCGCCCAAAATGGTTGTAAGGGTTGTTTAAAGAAGTATTTCGTACCTTTCATAAAAGTCAAACAGACGTTACATAAATTAGCTGTAAAATTTCACAACAAAGAATCTGCTACATTGTAGTTAATATTGAATGTACTAAATGACAGCCCAATGGTAGAATTAAATAAACTCCTAAAGAGAGATCAGCAGTCTGATTTTCGCTTAGTCAAGTCAAATTTACATGAGTTGACTAATTTTACTTTACAAGCTTAACTCCATGAAAAACGTTATATCTTATCCTGGGTTTGTATTTCAAAGTAAAGCCCTTGGAATGACGCTGCATTTTTAAAGTTTCATTGTACTTATAGCAGCCCGAGTTATTTGGGAATATTAAATTTTATTTTGAACTAGGCTCAGTTTTAAGGCAATAAAATTTGGGATATACTGTAAAAGATCATTCTTCAATCAAAGCCAAATCCATACAAGTTCTGCAGCTAATTATAAAATTCTACTTACATTTAGGAAACCCTCATGGGGAATTTTTCATTTTAAATGACCGTATGATTCTAGTCCCCGTGGCAAACGTTAGTGATAAGAAAGACTTGGCAGTACTCCAGAATTTCAATTAATTATTGATCAATTTTAAAACTTGATAATAGTAATTGGTAATGCTAAAAGGTTCTGATTGATTTCTCAGCGCAAAACCCAAGGTCAGATAATGTATGAGTCAAAAGTAAATTATGTGTCTGGGATAGCCTTCGCACTTTGACTAAAGCATCTGGGGAATAATCAACTGCACCTTATGTTTACGTCTGCTGACTTGATGTTATTTACACTGCATAAAAGAAAAATGAGTCAAGTCATTTAATGTATTTTTATCTTCTTTCACGAGAGAACCAGTATGAAACCCACTTTGAACCTTAGAGCGAATGCATGCGCAATCGAAATGGCCCACGGGCTAGGTTATTCCTTTTGCAGAAATCTAGAATCATCAAACGGTCATGCTAACTGCACCGTGAATTAATACAGGATTCACCGCACCGACAAATGCAACCGGGAAACTGCTTGCTTAGCACGGCGGAAATTCTACAAATGAAGTTTTTTTGCACTAGAAATGCAGATTTTCCTTTTGAAATATGTTAAAGTCGAATCGGAGAAGGTCCAGTGAGGTTTAGTGAAGGCGCATCTACTTAAATATATTTGTGAACTTCATAAAAAACTATTCCAGTACGAACGTAATTAAGAATCTTGCCTTTTAAGTCTTGCGTATTTATCGAACTGAATACCTTCTAATACCGAAATAGGTAATCGTGAGAAGGTATTGCATGAAGATCCGAATTTTTCATTGTCTGTTCGTCTGAAATGATCTTAAACCCTCTAGTTTCGCAAGGTCAGAATTGAGAAATGGATACAAAATTTAAAAAATTGAACAGCAAAATAGAAGGTGGAAATATGGAAGTTCACTTCAATTGTCGTTTGACTTAGGCTTATCAGCATGTCGGTGACTCAGCCACAAATTTGGCTAGAGATTGAGACAATGCTGATGCCAAAAATGAACTAATTTGTTTTCACATGCAAGATTTTTCATAGTTATATTAGGCAGTGTCCATTTCATGTGTTAATCACATCTACGACCTCCATCTCAAGTCATTACCTTTCTGTTAGTTGGTCTTAAAATTATGCTTTACATCTATTCAGTACATAGAGGTAAGATTTTGTGTATTGAAGGTCAGCAACGACAGAAATCTGAGGTGCTAGAACCAAAATCCAGGCCATTGCAATTTTGTGGGCATGATATGATTCTGACAATATTACATTTAAGGGAACTAAACACACAGTTTGTGATTTCAACAAAATAAACTTCTCTTAGTTGACATCTTATAAATTGAATTCGATATGTTCGCATGTTGGTTGTTGACGTCTTAAATAAACTGTTTTATAACGAGCAAAAAACGAGGCTTCAAACGAAAAAGACCCAATGAAATCATGCGTTGGAGACGTTAGTGTTTTTCACGGTAACTCAGAAAATGTGTGACAGCGTTGGCACACTTTTTGATAAATCTTAGTAGGGCGCCGTGCAGTTTCCAGCTTCATTCGACAACTGAAAACCTCCCAAGCATTTTCTTGCACTGTAAAACAAACGAATCCCTACCTTGTTTAAGATATAATTGAACGAAATTTTTTCATTCGTCGGTACGATCTTGAATGCGTTCTGAAAGGTGGTAGTTTCTTATGACGGTTCTATAGCATCATATGAATACAAGTTTTTTTTACTTTAGCCTATAGTACAATGCTGTCTTCCTTGGCCTTTTGTTATTATAGGTCCACGTGAGAGATTTTTTGTGAAAAATGTTTACAGTCTAGTCGTTTATCTAGTCTTGATCTACCTTTTTATTCTACCTGCGTTTATAGCTACTTATCTGAAACCCTACTCTGAGCGATTGTACGTGGTAGAACATTAGCGCCATTAATGGAATAATGTGTCTGAGAGGGTCATTGTAGCAAGTGGACATTTGTTTTGTAAACAATCAATATTTAAAAGGAAATTAAAAGCTCACCATAAACACTGAGGAAATAAAGGTAGGGAAATAACTATGTCCTTGTCGGTGTTTCCTATCAAAACTTGCAAATTGATTTTAAAGGAGACAATTTTGACAATTTTCGATTTCTTAGCACCTTGAAATTTTACTGAGTCGCTGAATGTCCTGCAAATTACATTAAAATTCTCACGAATACGTTAAAAGCTGCCCTAAGCAAAAATCACAGGTTCATTTGTTAATGCTTCAGGCATTTGCACTGGTTGGATATCGTAACCTTGTTTATTTGGAAAATTGTGCAAGCTAATTCCTTAAATATTACTAAAACGTGTCAAAATTTATCCTAAATATAACAATACTCATGCCCCTTAGTTGTTTTATTTTTTTGTTCTGCTAAATCAAATTGCAGCAGTATTAAGGTCCACTCAACGTAACTGTAGATTACGCAGCCAAGAGATAAATGCCAATGGCTATGACCCCAAGAAATGGTCACGGAACATGAAATTAATACATGCTTAATGGGTTAATTGACTTTTTATAGTATATTATAAGTGCGGTCATTTGCAGTCATAAAATACAGCATACAAGCATTCCTGGTTAAGTTACAGCATAAAGTTTAAATCATTCTTCTCAATGAAGGTTCCATATTCAGACTTAGCATGAATTTCATTAATTTTTTTCAAGTTAAATGTCCAAAAGACAGTTCCTATGTTGCTTCACCGAAACCGCTCTGAACTATTGGACACATTTTGCACAAACATTCTATCGCCAAACTTAATGTTATGTGCTACAAAACTGCATACTTGTCTCCTGGTTTTATAAATTGGCGAAGGTCAGCGGGCTGACATTTCTCCCATCGCCAACAAAGGATTAAAAAATGTTTTTTTTCCAGAACACCATTTCTATTGTTCTAAATTACCCGCTCCGATCTTTCGCGGTGGTAATCTACGTGATGCCTTTTGCATTAATGTGTTTTTGACTTGCAAAATGGTGAATACTTTTCATTTTCTTTTTAGTGCTTTTAGAAAGCAACTTTATTTACTTTAGATTTGTCCTAAATGACAGCAGGACTGCTGTTTTTACTTCGTTCAACTAAAGTAAATAAATAAGTCCAGCAGTTTGACTTCTAAAAACTGACCATTCGTGGATGGAATGGGCAGGCTTAAAATTAGCACACATTTCTTCAATAACATATTTTACTTTGAAGCTAGAGTCAAGACTAGTTTAGTCAACTATTAACGATTGTCTGACCTTTATCTAAGTTTCATATACAACTTGGTAGAATAGAAAGCTAATAAAACGTTTGGATCTACCGCTTCGCTGGGCATAACAACAATAACAAAGGGAATACTATCCTTTTGCTTGCAGTAATAACTTCTCCTTATTTAGGGTAAATGTGGCATTTTTGTGTCTGCTACAAGGAAAAAAGAATATCCGGCAATGGCACTCGTGTAAGACCATGGGTCTTTAGTATGTTTCAATTAAAACTGACACACCGCCTCAGCAGATATTGGAGTGTTCATTTAGTCTAAGTTTCAATGAAATAAATATACCAGGCGTTTCAAAAAAGAGGTCCTTTACTATTTTAGTTGTCTGGTTGAATTCAGTGAGTTTGTCGTATGCCGTAGTGCTAAAAAGGACTTTATGTTATATCTTTCACCAGATATGGCGACATTGTTCCAGTAACTGTGGTGGGAAAGATCTTTGGGGGAATTTGTTCACTTTCAGGAGTCCTGGTAATAGCTCTTCCTGTTCCCGTGATTGTCTCCAACTTCGCCAGAATCTACCAGCAAAGTCAACAAGCCGACAAGAAGATCATCGAGCAGGTAGGAGAATTGACATGTCATCATCGCACTTATGTTGTTTTGAACTTTGGAAGAGATTAAGATTGTGCTTGCGACTGATGTACATTTATTGGATGGACTCAAAAGTGGATATTTAATAAGCTAATTTTGCAAATAAATAATTCACCTTTTTGCAAAGACAGGTTTGATGTCCCGAACCGATTCCGAAATGGGACTGTGACCTAGTTTTAGCATTCAATTTGATATTAGTGCTGCCCACCTTAAATGTCACTCGTTGAACCATCACCGAAATAAATCCGAAATGCTGCCTTACACTTCTAAATTTGTGTGCAGTAAACGCGCCTAGAATTTTTTCTACACAATTATAGTACATCGAATTGTGTCATGGATTCAAAACAATTGGTGTTTTGCGTGAAGTATAGAATTTTTAAAAAAATTGTCTTACCGTACATACAACATTAGATGTCTGGACATTTGTAAAACCCCTTATTTACTCAGAAAATTTTAATATCGATAAAAACTCGAATATGATAGCTGAAGCCTTTGGACTATACATCTGATTAACATGATTTAATAAATTAAATTTCAGGAGATCGTTTTCAGACAATGTTATTCATAAGTTAAATTTGTAAATCAATTTATCTTACCGTCTCGCTCTTTTTAAAAATATCTCATTCACCTTGATTCCAAACTACTGGATAAGGTACCAAAAATGCCTCTTTTTTGGGTAATTCAAATGTAAAACACGTAAGCGATTCTTGTAAAACAAACTTTTAAAAGTCTGACACTGATGAATAATTTTATTAATGAAAAGGCTGACGCCGACCAGCTGTTTTACCAAAAGGCTTAAGCAAAAAAGAATTGGAGAAATCAGTCTTCACAAAATAGTTGTAAGGTGTCACTGGGCTACTCTTTTTAATAGGCTTTGAAGTGTAATTTTGTGTAAATTTGAATCAGTTCTGCTCATTGCTAATTCCTTGTCAATAAAGGAGGAAAAAAGGATAAATAATGTTAATAAAATGTTGCGTAACGTATGAAGATTCCAACACAATCTTTTTAGAATGTGGAAGTAGGTAACAAATTGGACCATGTGAAAAGATATCCAAATGACAAATATTCGAAGCAATTCATAAAACTCGAACGGTACCACCTCATTTAGCACCCTTTTTTGACTGCAGCATTCAAAAAGGTTAAATCCAGCCGTTTCTAGTTTGTGTCAAACTACCTGCGATCCTCGGACGAACATTGCTAGGACCCGTTTTTTTCGACATTTCTGAACTTTACTACGATTTTTGTTCACAAAACCAAACCTGTTTTGTAATAAAAGTGATTTAATTAAAAATAAGCTCAGAATAAATGAAATTGCAGCGGAATACTCTCTTTAAAATCAGATATTATTTGATGGGAGAACTATGGGATATCTTGTGGGAATGCAAGAGGTAAACCATCACGATTTCACGAATTCGTGAGGTTTTAATAACATTGCATCGTCGATCCTGGACAAAAATGTAAACGCAACCGATTGCTCTCCTAAAGGACAGTTACATTGGTGAATATCTGGGGTGGTTGTGTAAATAATGTGAGCCAATGAAGACACGAGGGACGTACACGCAAGTACGCAATCGGATTACGAGGGAGAACAATCGCTAGTTGAGCAATAGGCAAGACTCCACATTTAAGGATGCTCCCAAACTCCAGTGCATTAGGTGTCGCTGTAGTTTTGCAATGTATTTTCATCAAATCCTTGAATATTATTGAAGAAATGGCTTATAAAAACCACTAAAATTTCCTTTTTGTCGTTCTACGTTAGGTAACTCCTTTAGTATCCACACAAAATGACTACGTCTTGTATTTCATTGTGTTATTTCGGCAAAATTTTTGGAGATGAATTTGGCACCGATCATAAACTTTCCTGTTTGTTTAGATTAAGGATATTTTTAAACATTGATCAGTCGCCTGGGAGACCTGAAACCTTCGCAAAGTCTTTTCAGCACCCCAATTAAGCGTTTAGTCCGTCAAAGGTGATCTGTTTATGTGGCCCAATCCAAACCGTGCAATAAACCTGCTTCCCAGTTAGGAAGATCCATGCGCAGTCTAAATTCAAATGCCACAGGCCAGTACGTCCAACATGCAGATACCATCTCGACATTTGATAAAACTTGGGTCGGCGCAAAGTCAACACTTGAAGCACTGCAAATCTCTAAAGGAGTCTCAGAAACACAAAAACGTTTATGATTGAACCGTAGGGTACTTTGATTACGCGTGCTTACAACGGTTGAACGAACCCAAATACCTGGATGCGATGCGATCTATTCAAATAGTGACCTCTACGTCATTCGACCAATTAAGGTAATTTTCTTTGCGCATTTTCATTCTGGTTGATCGAAGGAGTCCTGGAGGTACCTCTGTTGAAAGCAACTCGATGTAGTAAATGATCTGCAATGAAGAGGTCTGAAAGTAGCACAGACAAGACATACTGCGTAAATTCAATATGAGTCCGAACGCTAATGAGTATCAACGCATCTTCTAACTCCGTGTGTTCTGTCTTGGGCTTCACTGCTGCAAGCAGCAAAGAAGTCTCTTCAAGACATTCGCTTATGGGGTCAGGGCCTGTTTTCTGCCTCAAAGAGGTTGATGGAAACCCTGTCATACTTTCCATTGAGTTTAACAATGCAGATTATTTCTTCCTAGAGTGCTTGTAAGGTGTGTTTTAGCCTCTTCATTGTCTCACACAGGCAATGAACCTCACTGCCAATGGCCTGTTTCGGAAAACAGCCAAAGTTACTCAAGTGGTCAACAGCCTTTACGTGACAGCATAAATATTCAGCTTATCTTTCGCAATCTTATTTATTACCAGCAACTAAATAGGAATCAACATTTGCACGCACTCCAGCTTTAACACAGACGTCTGATTTTGCCTACTTGCCCCCAACTTGAAAATTCCAAAAACTGACAACATCTGGGTTTTTAAAAATCCAGAATACTAGACTTGTAACCATGCTAAGTTATGCCGGGTAAGTGTAGCTAAAATGTGTTCTACCCTGCATTTAGGCGTGTGGATACGTAAAATATATTACATAGATGTTCCTAATTAGCGAAAAACTACCATTCTGGAGCATCAGCAACAGGTTGTTTTCACAGATGCTAAAGATAGTCACGTGTCTGGTTTTTTTTTTCAAGTCTTCTATCTGAGCTGTAGTCTCTCAACTTAGCCAATTTAAATTCCTAAAAATACAAAAGCATGTGATTTATTTTCGGTCTTTGAAAATAGGCAAATTAGGCACAAAATAGCAAAAGAATTTACATTGGACTAAGTCTTGATGTCTCGGTTGTCATTCCCACATTGTGAAACAAAGCGTACTTGTCTACTATATCGTTTGCGTTTATTAATTCATCTTTTGGCTATGCTAACTATTTATACAAAGCGCGTAGTAATTAACTTCAGTCACGAAACGTGACTGGATGAATCGCCCCCTAAATTTTGTTTAATATGTCAGAGTATTTTTGAAAATAAATTAAGGTTGAACAAAGCGGTGGCGCAAATTTTAATTTACTGCGAAAACTAGAGAATCATTTGAGCTAAATAACAACCTAATTAGCACTTTTTATGTAATAAAATTGTGAACGGAATACCTAGTTGCTAAGTAGAGCGTAATTTGTTTTTTTAAAAGCTTACGCACGAATTCCTATCGTATGCGTTAAATTCATGATCGCAATACAGACAGATTATGGCCTCATTAGGTAATTAATACCATAGGAAGCCTGAACTTCAAACAATTCATAATTGTTATGGAATTGAGTAGACAAAAAATGAGATTGTCCTAGTGTCATATGACATATATTGCATAAAAGATTTGAGAAAATAGTTACCAATTGCGAAATACCTACCAGAATTTGCTCTAAAAGTCTCTTCAAGTCATTGTGAACGCCGTAAATTGAAATTTGCCCATGACTCAAGTCCGCAAAGATTTTTTGCTTTATAGACTTCAAGGAGTGAACGGCTCAAGAAGCTTGCTCTGTATCAACGTTCGGCTTTTCTGGCGGGCAAAAAGCTTGCAAAATGTCGCATGAATGAGTTGACGGCCAGCGAAGCCACGAAAGGTGGAGGGGATAATAAATACGCGGATCCAAATAAAAGGGCCATTTGGACGGCGGAAGGAAAACGAGGACCTCTGAACGCAATCGACGAAGAGGCCTCGGAGGCACCTCTACTCAATCGTCTGATGTTGAATTCGGCACAAATGCAGCATTACCATATTCTCGCTTGTCTGGAACAACTAACAGTAAATATCTCATTTATTTTCTTTCGTATATTCCACATACATTTAGGTTTTACATTTGAGAAGTTTGAACCAGCAAATTAAGCGAAACGTAACGTCAATACATGAATTTTGCAATGAATATGAAAATGGGATTTTAAAACACCATAAAGTTATTCAGGCGTTTTTCTGTGACACAGTTTGAACAGTTGACAAGGAAATTCGGGCTCGCATGCGCTTAGTGAACGTTGTCTGGCAAATTTTGCCTATGCAGGTCCTTTATTTTTACACAAGTGTTCTTTGTCATGGCGATTCTTATGTTGCTCGTGTTTAAGATATCCCTACAAAAGACACGTCGCCCAGTCAGATTTTATAGAGCACAAAAACATCTTTTCTGGTGCCGTAAACGGCACATACAACCCTAAGAAGAGAAATAGCAACGACAATCTCTTAAATACGTTTTTAATTCTAGATATTTGTCTAGCATTAGAGATAAATTTAAAAAAAATTATTTAAATTAATAGATGGTAAAATGGTGCCAGAAATTTGAGGATATCCTGAACATAGTGCACATAAATGTCACATTTAGTGCTCATCAAAGACTCTTCTGTGTCCATATCGTTTGATTTATCTATCAATGACACACGTGACTGGTTTGCGTTAGAATTCCATGGAAGCTGAATCACAGAGCAGGGTTCTGTCAACTGGGCAATAGCACTACCCAGTGCTATTCCCTCTCCACTAAATCACGTGGTTAGTACGCGTTGGTGCGGCAATAAATTGTTCAAGGTGATGAATGTGCTGCATTTGTCCTAATAAGGCTTGTTTGCAGGCATGCAATGATTTTATTTACTCAGGTGAATAAGTTTTACAGTGACAAAAAAATCAAATTTATCTAAATGTTAGGAACAGACCAGTAGATGAAGACTAAATCGAACTATTCAAATCCGTATGTCTTTAAAGAGACTATAGATGAAATAAATGCTAAAACAGTGATTGTGCACAAAAAAACCTGCTAAGAACACATTTTGGCTTTGTATTTAAGAAGATGAGGGACTAATGGCACGATTTTAGAGATGTTAGTGCCAGACTTGTGCTTCTTTACTTTGCCATCCTCAAAAATGGATGCGACATAGACATTAGCAAGCACTACTTACAACAAGCCCAACTTAAGAGTAACATAATTCTGGAGAAAGGTAATTTGCAGCTGTTAATTATTGCTCGGGTTTGTCCAGGTCCAATGCTTAAATTGGAGCCTAACATGACTTGCTCACATCTGCGTTCGCTGGTAAGGAATTGCGCAGCTGAGTAGCGCTTCTAGCAGGCGATGAAGAATGTGTCAGGTCAGATGTGTGAGCTAGGCACAAAAGGGTTAATTTCCAAACGAAATCATTTCCAAAATGCTCATTTCAATGCATGAGATATTTCGTTGCCTTATGTGTAATTCTCACAAAAAAATGTTAAAAATAATTACAGATTTTGAATAAATATAGCAAGTGGTTTCATTTACATTATGCAGATGTCTGTAATATTTCGGAAATGTTTTTTGGCTACAGGTGCATTTTAAAACTAAGCATTTAAACACTTTTTTCAATCGATTTATTTGCCATTTTGGGTTCTTACGATTAATTGAATAGTAGCCTCAAACGAACTAGCAAAATAAATAAAATGATGGATTTTAATTTGATTTACAACTAAGTGTTTGAAAAGGGCAACGGTGATTGGACGTATTATTGCTAAATATTACATCGTTTACTACAATGCTTTAAATATTCACTTTCTAGATGAGATAGTCAATGTAAAGATATTTTGATCAAACAAACTTCCAATGGGCGTTTCCTTGCAGAACACCGAGGCAAAAATTATTTTTCCGGATCATGTGATTAAGATGTATGTCCGGGATACCGCAGGCTCCTGGAAATTTTCACATAAAGTGGCCCATAAAAATTTTTTGTCCCCGCAAAAAAGTCATTTTGAATAGAACAGTTAGTTGCAAGTCAGGATAAAGTTCAATAAATTTCAAAACAAAAGGACTGAATTTAAAAAAAAATTTGCAAACCGGATTAAAGTGAGGACCATAACCGTGGAAGTTCGGTTGGCAACCTTCAAGTCCTATGGTCTTATTCCTCCACGGGATTTGTGCATTTACATCTGACTTACTAAAAGGCAAAAAACTGTCGCGATTCTACTTTGGCTTTCGAAGTCAACTTCTGACTTAGGCTACAAACTTTCCGCAGAAAGGCGTTTTGTGAGTGGATTAGTTTGAGCCAATGTTTTTCTTCAAAATTTGCGAAATGTCTTGCGCTTCCCTGGGAGGATGCAGCTTCATTTGCATTTGTTAACTTTTACAAAATGGCCACGTGATAGCACATAAACTGTCTTGTTTCCTTTTAAGCATAGACAAGGTTTGATGACCGCTGTTAATGGTAATTTAATGAACGTATGTCACTTGCGTAGCCATAACGAAATGCTACTGGCATAAATTAACAAGATACAAGACGTTTTCTGTAGGTAAACAAGATATCAATTGCAATAGTCAACTAACTTAATTCGTTTATGGAACCACAAATTCGTTTAAATTTGATGCACCTATATATTGATGTTCTCGCTGAATATCGCTATTTAATTTAGCAAATTTGCCTAATATGTGCGAGAAAAACCTTTTCCGAAGGAGTTGTCAAGTAACTTTTTCCTATTCAGTTTGACAGTTTGGTTAAAGCGCAAGAACGCAGGAGCTTCTGCCGAACTGGAGTTCTGTAAACACCAAAGGTTGCAGTATTTATTAAGGAAGCTCCTAAATTTTTGTTGGGTTTTCATTCAAGCGCCAGTCACAAAAATTAAGATATTCCAGACTGTAGTGTGAGTGTGCAAAAGCTCGACCGTAAAATTGTTAATATAATTTCACACAATCACTAGTAAATTATCTCTTAGCAGTAATTTTTACTTCTCATTTCAAATGCTACTTAAATTGATTTAGTAGCACGTGTAAATACTGTTAGCATTCATTCAGTACAATCAGTTGGTTGTCAAATGTCTTACCCAGTTTCCCCAAGTTCAATCAATTGCACTTAACAGTCTACAAGTCCACAAAATTGTGTTTAAACTCATTTCGATTACAAGCACCTGAACAGGCATTTCAGAATTCAAAATTAACCAAATAGACAGCAAGCCAAGCATATTGCAGATTGCGTTTAATTTGCAACCTCTGATGTTAAACGACATTTAAGTGATGATAATTATTTGTATTGTTCTCATATTCATTAGTAGGTGATTTGGTAAATTCAGCAGATACTTATGTACTTCTTTACTCCTCGGAGTTTAGTTCAAATGTTAAAGAGACGAAATGTTAAAATGACAAGTCCAAAGGTGTTTGTGTTGTTGGATCTTAAAAAAAGAAGTAATGTATTGATCCCGCTTATCTCCCATGAAACATGCAAACATTGATACCACTTTCAACTGTATTTTTTAAAGCAATTTTGAAAAATCTTATTTAAACTTTTAAATATCGATATTTCCAGTCGCCTTGTTCATTGTTCGAGAATTTCTCCATTCCGGTTAAATCAGGAAAATAAATTTTCTGTTGTGCTGGAAATATTTTCGCTTCGATGGTACATCGACTAGGTCCGTATTAAAAGGTGAAAATTTTAGGTTAAAATCGCCTGATTTAGACAGAGTCCAAGTGAAGATGCACACCATCACCGCAAAAAATTACTTTACGGTGTAAGAAAAGTAAGATGTCAAAATTTGTGAGGCCCACCTTTGTAGAATTTACGAATGTGATTACTTTTCATGCTGCAACGGACGTTGTAGATGTTGTAGTAGATTGCTAAAAAATAATGCAGACTTATGACATAGACCAAAAATCACATCTAAGTTGTCGGCGTCAGTTATACGTACGTTTACAAAATAATGTTTTTTTTTAATCAAAAATGCACTAGAGACACAAACTTACGACATGAGGTTTTCTCATACTATGAGTTTCAAGATTTGCTGCTCGCGTGATGTTTTTTTGAGATTTTGTGCTGTCAGAACTTTCGTGCAGGCCAACCGCTTCTGTTATCGAGGTTGATTTTGTGCTAGAAAAAAAATTGGTTTTAAAATTTGACCAACACCCCATCTTATTCATTTGCTACCTCATTTACTTAAAATGTTTGAATGCCAAATTGTTGGGCACTTCGTATATTATTTCCTGCAACCTGGTGCTCGCTGTCATTTATAAGAATAATACTATCAACAACTATCGTGGATCAGAGTTGCCTACACAAATTAATTCAAGTGGCCGCCATTAATCTTGTTGCATTTAAACACGCAAATAGAGGTAGCTCTCTTTGCAGAAGTATTTTTGACTGAAATTAGTCTGAGGTTCTACAATTTTATTGCTAAGTTAAGTTTATCCTGAATTCGCAAACTCCGATTCGTTATAATCTAATTTCTACGACAAAATTATTCCTAAATATTCTGTCTTTAAAAAATGAACGAATTTGTATCGTGTCAAATTGCCATCTTTCTTTTAAACACAAGAATTTTCTTGTCAACTTTTATCATACCTGTTCATTTGGTTTCATTCATTGCATAGCATTTTGACTTATGACGAATTCCATTTTAAACCAATTTTAGTTACCGTTTAGTCCGAGTATTATTGCTGTCGTTAATGCTAAGTGCTAACATGTCGCAACTGCTTCATTTGTCACCAAAGCATTGCTTTAGTTTCAATCAACAGAGTATTCCCAAGTAGCTCTAATGCATGATTTAAAGGGCTTGAACTGCTATCACTTTTAATTCACTTGTTCTGCAGGGTCGACACCCAACAAACGAAGGACAGCTCGTGTTCCCGTAAGCGCTATTCACATCGACATTGGCTTCCAAATTACACTGAATCAGGTAGGTTTGTTGCACTTATCAAGATATTTCCAGAGTAATGCAATTCCTTGCTAAAATAATCACGCAAACACGCTTAATTGCCAAAAATTATGACTAACTTTTTTCTTCATATTTCAATGTATAAGTTGTGGCGTGTTTGTAATTAGCAGTCTCACTTACTGTAGAAGATATCCCAATATGGTAACTTGAATAATGAGAGTCAAAGATGACACGATTTCATTGTATAGGCGCGAGACAATTCACGAAACCCTCGTTGGTTAGGAGACACTGATTGGGCCTGCACAAATTAGTAGTGATTTGTTGCTTGTTTTGTATAAGTAGATTACAGATACTACGATGACGTGCGTACGATAACCAATGGGGAAATACCAAAGTTAAGGGTCAGTACCCGATCGCTGGACTTGGGTCAAGTTCTTGAATTTAAGAGAAAGTGCACTTTAGCCAGTCACTAAAATCTCACACATGGACGAAAATCTACAACAGCATTCTGCTGATGTCAGAGTCATTTCTGATACAATAAGCACCAGCTCAAGGCCATTTTACATTTCTTAAGTCCCAAGTTTCATTGTTTGAAAACATGTGCTGCTGATTGTCTGCCGAAAAACTGCATCAGATATTGAAAAAAAAATAAGTCAGTTTAAAGCTGACAGTCAGTAAGAAATAGGGTAACCTTAGCTGGGATATTGGTCGGTTATAAAGTTGCCCTGTGCTACGACTGGAATGATAAGCTGTTCAACATCATATGTAGGAAGGTTCGTCAGAGTAGACGGTATGTAGGCTGGCTAACTTTAGCTGTCTTTGACCTTGCCTTGTTTTCCGTAGGCATTAACCTGACAAATGAAACGGTGGGCCACTTGGTCCTTGCATTCCTCGTGCTCCGATTTACTTTATTGTCACCGAAAATTTACCAAAATAAGTAATTTAATTCTGCTACTTCTATGGCCGTCTAGGGACTTCAAGTAACTTTGTGTCTTTATTCATAAAATTTTGTCAAACTTGTATGAAAAGTCAAATTTATCAGTGCAGATTAGATTGCAGCACTGTAGATTTTGCGGAGGATAGTCATCAAGTCTTGTAGCTACTTTCAAAATTTCACTGTAAGCACTGAACTACTTTTGCCTGCATTCATGGTTCCAGGGTGTCATATAAGGCACAGACATTTGCTATCTCCAAACGGTTGAGTTAGCAATCTGTTAGGATAGTAAATTGGGAGTAAAACCTTAAAGTAAGGCATTCCTCGAAGTCACTCCAAATGCGTATCTTCAATCTATTTCCGCCTGTTCCTCTCCAGTGTCCTTGCGGACTTAATCTGCAACATTTGGCAATATTGCTCATGCCGAGCTATGCTTATCATCATTACACTTTTGATTAAAGGTAAATAAGATAACACTATGTAACAGGACTTCAAGCTGGCCCAAACATTTTTTCCTCATTTATATTATAACTTTCAGTCATGTTTTATAAATAAAGTTGCACAAGCACAAAAAATCTTCCTTTTGGATTGATTGCGCGACCATTTGATGGGTGCGGCAAAAAAGCCCACTGGGAAATGTTGCAGTTAGTGGTTATGTCATGATGCAACATTAAAGAATAAAGTTAGTTGTTTGCTGTAATACAAAATTGCTGTTTTTTTTTTAATTAATGTGTCGTTTGTTACGAAGCACATGCCCACATGGAAAGGGAATAATTTGGTGGATATCGGGTAGTTGCCTTAACTTTGTGAAAAAAAAGTAATTTTTATGTACTACCGATGTTAAACGTTTACCTCAGCACAGAGACACCCATAATCGATGAATGCTGGGATTTTTAACTTTTTATACTTGATTGGTTATCAAAATGTATTGAAGATTAAGACCTATTTACGCAGGCTTAGCACTGCATGCTTTTAAAGTTATGTCATTATTTAACAGGAAAATTAAATAAACGCATGATGCCCTTGTATTGAACATGCTTCTGTACGGAAATAACTAAGATGCGTCATACTTGGAAAAGATGCAAGTTTTACAACCTGGAGCTTGGTTAGCTTGATTTACTTCCCAGTGAATAAAATTATCAATAGTAAGCACTCATATGGATAAAAAAGCATCTGTTCAATCAAATTTACCTATTTTTATACATATTTTTAGATAATTATAGCTTGCGACGAGCATCTGAAGTCTACCAATCATCGACGCCTTGAAATGTATGGCCTCTGACTGAAGAATTTTGGCACGCTTTTGTAGATTTAATTGTTTGGTTCACTGACTGACAAAATATTTTCGCATTTCCTCATTCAAATAAAAAATCGATCTATGAGCCTTAATTTATGCTCTTTAACAAATTATAAGCCCACTAGGATCAAAACTTTGTGCATCGTAAGCTTATTTCTATAACTGACTCAGCTTAATTGCATAAAAAACTTAAGTGTTTCAAAGAGGCTGCCATAGTAGGCACTGTTTTCATGTTCATTTCTATTCCCTTGACGATTAATTTTTTTGTTAATTTTGGAAATATTTGTGTCAATAGTAGTGGATCTGCGAAAGCAATGCTATTGAAATATTGCGATTATGAAGTCGAAATTCGTTTAAAATGCTCCAAACGTTTAGGACTAGTGGTTGGATAAGTCAACAAATGATTAATCAAGTTTCCCTTGGTCAATACATTGTCGTGAATTCTGTTTATTCAATCCTCTAATCCGGTCGCTCCATCGCCTACACAGGGTTCCCCTTGTCGCAGCATGTCGCCAGCCGCGCGAATCCTTAACTCCCCCTTCATTAGCACAAATATTTATCTTGGATTATCCCCACACATAGGTCTCGATGATAGCGCATGTATGACTTACACATCCGAGTTATAAATACACACGCGCAAACCCCACACACGACACGACAGCAACGTGGTTGACCTCCGAAGTAGACGCTTGTGTCCGTCCTCTCCGGTCTTTTTCTTCATCGTGGGTTCAGGCAAGCGTAATCTGGCCAGGGTTAATTCCGTGGCCCCGGCGTGGTTCAAGACCACATTCTGGGGCCCACAACAAAATCACGGTTATGTCGCATCCTATTAAATCCCTGGGCTCACATCATCAAATCACTATTTATTTTCAAAGTTTAAGAATGATTACTGTCTGAAATAGTACTTGGTTCATATTTATGTCAACTAAATCCAGAAATTCTAGGAGAAGTGAATATGGCGGTATCAGAAAGTTGACTTGAGTAAGCTAATCGTAAAGGGATTGTATTCAACTAACCTAATACTATACGTGGGAAGTTATTGAAGTTTAGTTGGAAAATGCTGACACATTCCCAGTAGAGTCTTCATTTTAAAATGTTGAAAGTTCCGTCGTATGATTAAGACCATTGTAAAATATTTACTCACTAAAGTCTTAAAGCTGAACACTATTTTATGGCATTTTATTGAAACTCGCTGACGTGGACGAAAGCATAATTTCTTCACTTACAAAAAAGACATTTTTTTTATTTTCTGACGCCTGTTTTTAGATTGTAAATGCATACAAAATTGTAGTACTTAATGGAAATGACAATTTAAAAGAAAATATCATTTGATAAATTGCTCACTTTAAACGTGATGTATCTGAGTTTCAAATACTTATACAGATTTACAGTATCAAGACCAAGCAGTGTTCTTATTCATTCAAATATTTCAAAGACTCATCGGTCGAAAATGCTAGTTTACAAATATAGTAGGTGGTTCAGTAGTGTTATTTAGTGAAAGACATAATAAGGAAAGAACTAAACATTGGAATGCGTGCATCAAAGAATCCGAGTGAGACGAAAGATATGAGTTGATAGAGCCATACATGGCTTTATGACATGTAGGGAAAACTGCTGTAAATTCTAGTAAGACAATATATCTTATTTAAGGGCACATAGTCTCACGTTTTGCTTTATTTTGCCCCTCGGCTATATCTATCATTTACTTTCTAAAAATAAATCTGGTATTTTATTTTTTTAAAAAGGCAGCAGCCTTATCCATCCACAGTCTGAATTCAACAATAATGTAGTGGACCTAAACTCAAACGAATATTAAATCCTGGTTTTGTACTTTTAAAATTAGGATTTACCCTCTGAAGTCATCAAATTATTTTCTTCATGCTCATTCTTATGCACATATCTCTACCATGATGACAGTTGTGAAAACTTATTAAATGCAAACATAAGTCGACGTATTCAAATATGCGAATTTCCTGAAGAATTTTTAAGGTAACATTGACCACATTTCATATTTTTTTGAAATAGGTTTGCTCCAATTTTTTGCATTTTTGATAATATTTAATGTTAAGTAACATCTGGGTCACACTGTGGTTCGGATGACTTGACCATAATTACGAACACTGTTAAAGCAACCAATCACTGGCAAAGAAGACCACCACTTAATCTCAATTCTAGCCTTTTTATCCGATGGTGAAGAACGAGGTAGGTGATCCAAAAATTATCTAATGTGGCTTGTTTAGATGGCATCGAACGAGTGTTCATTAAATGGTAGTGTAAATAAGGCTAGGAACACAGCACCTGTACGTATTGAACTAGGCGAGCTGACCCAACACAATATAAATCAATTGCGCATTATTAACAGAACTGTATTTCCCGTCAACTATACGGATAAGTTCTACACCGATCTTCTTAAGCAGCCACAGTTATGCCGTCTTGCATATTTTAACGACATTGTTGTCGGCGCAGTATGCTACAGAATCGAGAAAGTTGCCGGATCTGATAACCTCAAGAAATGCTATATCATGACGCTGGGCTGCTTAGCTCCCTATCGTCGCTATGGAATTGGCTCGATGCTTCTTCGTCATGTCTTGCACAAATGTATGAAGAACAAACAGATCCAGTCAGTCTACCTGCATGTTCACATTGAGAATGAAGAGGCCATAAGGTTTTACCAAAAATTTGATTTCCTGATTACGGATAAAGTTGAAAATTATTACCATCGCCTTTCACCACAGGATGCCTACATTCTTGAAAAACAGTTGGATCACTCTGTTCCGGTCAGCGACTCAGATTCTGAATAAATATATATCTTTGGAAAATGTACGATGTCTCGTTTAATGAATAATTAGGTTCGTTTTTTTGGCTTTGGAAATTGGCGACAACTAGTTTTTTACTTTGGCCAATAATTGAAAAAGGTGTGGAAAATAAACAAACAGGGTTAAGCCGAATTGAACTTCGCTTGTATATTTCCTGCGCTACTGATATGTTTGTGCCGCTATAGGCAAAATACCAGTGAATTCGCTTCAGCAGTTTATGTAAATTTGTCGAGCCTGTGTATGTGGCCGGGGGCACGCTAATCAATAACACCATGAAATTCGTGATAAGCATGCTGAAACCAGCTAGTTTGTGAGCTACTGGGCTGAAAGTTAAGTGCTATCGCAAGCTCTCTGTGTGTTCTCGATGTCTTCTCAAATGTAATATCTGTTCATAGTAGAAGGGTATGTCAAGGTTAAACTGGCCAGCGCTTCCGTGGGTCCATTTCTCACTGCCCTTACTCATATGTGATTTCATTAACAGCTGTTTGAGGTGTTTTTGCTCATTGTGAACATCGGAGCATACTGAAGCTGACTGTAAGTTTGTTAAGCTCATGTTCATACATGACCCAAGACGGATGGATTATAACGTGTGTGTATCATCGAACTCGACTAAAGTGGGTCAGATGACAAGACATCAACACGTTTACCCTTGCATACCGCAGTGACCTCCCACTTAATAATAACCGTCCTGATGAAAGCACTACCCCACCTGTAACTCTCAGGAGGTGCTTAGCGCATTTGCCTGTCAGGGATGCTTGAAATTAATAATTCCGTGTAGGAATCATGACCTAGTAATTAGCTGTTTCACATAGATGCGACACGTTTTCTGTTGACCTCTCAGCAGTTCAAATCAATACAGTTTTGTGGACAGTAATTTAAAATCAATTACAGTAAATTTACCAGTTTGATGGTACTGTAATAGGTCTGTTCAGTGGATACTTCCTCGGTACCTCTTTCCAACGAATCAAAATTCCTAACTTAGTTGGCTAAAGAATCATATTGCCAAATATTACAGTTGAATGTACTCAGTAACAGCTACAAATATTTTCCAGTAGAATTCTACACCATAAGTGATTTAAACTATCATTAATCGATTAAAAACTAGCATTTCACTCAAAAGAACGGTCAGTATTTAACCGATTTAACCTGTCGATGGCACCAGACATCACTAACCAATTAAGTTTGGTGTTCTAACGGAAGCAATGGTTCCACAAACCTTCGTTCAAAAATATTAAATTGTCAGAAAGAATCGCCACAAGGTGATAAAATTATCATAAGGATTATTGCAAACTACATTTGGAAGGTAGGTCGAGTATCTGGTTAACTCACAAAACTGAGCCGGTTCGAAAGGAAATAATAACTTTAAAGTGGTAGCCAGTAGTCAATCAGACAGGTCCACAACATATGGTCTACCATTCTTGGAAGGCTTGGTCATAGGCTTCTCATTTTGATACATGTTTTGTCTCAGGTCTTTGTATTCCTTCGTCCTCAGGATGGCTGTTCTTTTAAACTGTACTTTTCAGAAAGGCAGCCTTGAAGAACTCCAGATCCTGGATAAGCAGGGAAAAACACCTAGTGATACGAATGCGTCTTTTTCCATGGGGCCTTGTTAGTAGGAAAAGCTAGTAGCCGAAGTCAATATCGCTTAGCTCACATAATTTGGACTCAACGTTGACTGACCCGTAATGTGAGCCTTGGTTACATCTGTTGCAAGTAGAGTTGACAAAATAATGAAAAGTGCATTTATGACAAAATAGTGAAAAAAACTAAGAGGGTGGATATATAAAAGCACGTAATAAAATGGCAGCAAGTGTGACTTCAATCATCCTCGAATTCAGCCTCTGAGACCGCACCTCCGCTGGTTTCCGTTCTTCCTTGGGGGGAGGAAGAAAGTCCATCGTCACCCTCATTGTCCTTCAAGAGACACGCCAACAGGTCTTTAAGCCCACCCATTGCACCAGATGCCTCCGTAAAGTCTTTTGCTAGTGACAACTTTGCTTGCCGGTGTTGTTGAAACGAACCGCTGCTACGGTGGTGTGACAGAAAGAAGGGTGGCGAAGTACAGTTGAGCCGCTTGCCTCTCCATCTGCGAGGCTGACCCTCTCCTGGGTCGCCAGAACGGCCACACTGGCACTGCCAGTCCCAGACCTCCCGCAATGATTGTCTCGAGTCCGGCGTGGAAGCTTCCGGGTAAAAAAAGAGATTAATGAAGCTCCCTAGTAGACGCAGGAGCTGCACCTCCTGGGTCTCTTCCTCAACCTCCGGCGAACCGAATGCCCCGAGGCTCGTCTCCCAAATCTCCGATGGCGAGCACACACGCTCTGGGGACTGCCGCGTGACCGCGGCCGACGAAGGTCGTTGTGGCGAACGAGGTGAGGAACGGCGGCGCCATGAAGACGAGGGGACGCTATAAGTGCTGCGACAGCCTCGTGAGTCATCGAAGAGGAGGAGGGAGAGGATTCGGGTAAAGAGCTCACCGAAAGAATCGCCACCCACCGAGGTCGCCAAAGCTGATCCAGAAAGAATTAAGTCAACTGTTTTAGATCTGATTATGCACACAACGGCAAAGGCAAACTTAAAAGAACATGGCAGGCATGAAAATCACGACATACAGCCTACTTTATAAGGTCATGCAGATGCTATTCACACAGATTATTAATAGAAACCTTTGATTAGATTTTGATGAGACTTCCATCTGCCTGAGGAGTCAGACAGAACTGGATAAAATCTAAGATAGAACATAAGTCTCGAGTCGGGTTTTCTGTGAGGTAAGATTCCGTATTTTGCGTGTAGTCCTGCGCATGGAACACTTTGTCCGATGATGACGCACTTGTCAAATTACAAAAAAATACGTTTAGCTCTGACAGGTGACTGGCGTACACATACACCGTGAATGTGTTGGACATAAATACTGAAATTAACCCAGTGGATAAAGTGTTGAACTTAGAAGTTTGCAAAAACAATACATAACCACAAACTGCTTGACTCTCACTCTGACCCACGCAAATTTTAGTTTATAAATGGCAATAGCTAGGCGGTTTCTAGGTTTGTATTACGTGTCAGCTATTTTTGTGGGCGGAAAGCTCACCGTAGTCCAGAAGATTGTGTCAGTCATACAATTTGCCCGAGAAAAAAATTACTGTGTGTTGATGAGATGACTTACGTTCTGGGGTTTCCAAAAGATTCACTGCGACTAGCACTGCACCGCATTTAACAGATATGTCGGCATCCGCCTAAAATAGAGCCAAAAATCAGAAGTTCTGGGTAACTGTCACACAAGTCGGTGAGGTTTAACAATAACAGCCAATTTGCTTACTGTGATTGTCGCCGAAAGGGCCTTCGTGAGTTCACTGTGATGCCAAAATTGGCTCAGCGCATCACCATTGGTGAGGGTGTTGGCTAAGACGGCCAAGGCCTAAATGCGCAAACAAACGCTCCCAGTAACTGCGTAGCACTGATTTTTAAGTGGCAACTATGCGCGACTGTCATGGCCCTGGTTCATAAGCCTTTACGTGGCTGCCATCCGCCGTGCAGGCCAAAATTGAAGCAAGTGCTTTCTCAGACACTGTTACGTGCTTCGGACCCAAGGCATGGCATGCGGCAGCACAAATTTGAGGATCAACGCAGAGCTGTGAGTACACTTCGCCTGGCGATAGGTGAATTTGGTTACGTTGGAGGGTGCACTTCTTAGAGTAGGTGAAATAAGCGAACCACGACACCTCTACTTTTTTTTTGGAAAACCACTCAAGACACTGACAGTCACCACACGACTCCACTGTGAGACGACACATGTCAGTGTAAGTAGGTTTTTCGCTGTTGTCAGATGCCCTCGCGTTAATGTGACTTAAAGCGAACACAAACCTACCTCATATTTAGTGCTCGCAGATGGACTTGTTGATAAAACACGCGCCAAGAAGGAGAACACATTTTTGCTGTAATCCGCCACGGGCACCTGTGATTAAAAGAAATTCGCAATAAGTTCGTCAGTGATGCAGGCAATTCATGCGATCGTATGTTGTTAACCATATAAAGGCATAGCTACTTGGTGGAAATCATCATGCCTACGGAAGGTGGATTAGCAAACGTCCATATTGTACATAAGTGAACGTGAGTTCAGTCGATTCTTTGATTTTGGTTTAAGCCCCACGTAGTGTCGGTCGTTTCTATTTATACGGACGCCTACTCACAAAAAGAACGTCCATTCGTATCGTCGCAGTAAACGGTTAAGCCCTGCGCTGTACACGGCCTTTTTTCCTTTCCTGTCTACGTCGGTCGTCGGCCTCTGCACACCACACAGAATTAGGCATTTTATGCAACAATTGAAAGGCTAAATCTGAATGTCTAATTGGAGCGATCAGACTGCGTTACACTGAAATCTAATATGATCGATAAGCAATGGTCAACGTACTGCTTTAAGAGAAAATAGATTGCGAAGCAAAATGATGCCTTTGTGAATGAAATGCGATTTCAATTGGGCCCACGAGGGTCCCGAATTCAGAACCGTTCCGCTTGTCTCGGAAAACACCTTCACTTCCGCTTGTGATCCCTCGTTCGATGTATCGCTGTGTGAAGAGAAACAGGTGCTTAAGTTGGCGGGAGAGTTTAGAAACGAACTTTAAACACTTCATACATAGGCTAACTTAAGCATTACGTGTGAATATACTCCCCGCGAGAAAGAATTTAATGACGAATGAGAGTCTGTTGGGTAAAATAGTTGCAAAATCACCTTTAATATAGGAGAAAAATGAGGGAACGAGGTATGGATCCTCTGTCGAATGGTTAAGACCGCTGACGTAGCAACCAGCTCGTACAAATAACCGAATGTGAGCGAGAACAGTAATTTCTACCTAGGTCAAAACGGCAGGATCACGGCTAAACTAACACCCGTTGGTAGTGCCTGGTCGTTGGGTCTCGGGTGAGGGTTTTCTGATCCGGTGATTCCATGGTTAGTAATTAGATTAAGTAGCTGAAAACCACTGATGGACGTTTTTCTGGAGTCTGTAAACACTCAACATAACTACCAACCTCGATTCGGCATCCATACTTTCCTCTGAGTCAGAAGAAATGAGAGCACAGCATTGTGAAATGACCTCCGGAATGATGCGACCAACAGCCAGTCGTTCAACAGTCTCTTGTCTGGTATCACCATCGATTGCGACTGACGCGGCTGCGTTAGACAGGCCCCAGAGACCGTTTAAGCGGAGGGAGAGCACAGCGTTACCAGAAGGGTTACCAACGACCAATAGCTGATGAAAGAGATCGAGAGAATTGTTGCGAGATTCCTACAATGGCAAAACATGTATTAGATTCCTAGGCACACAATGCCTCTAAGAGTGCTCTTGTTCTGATAACATAATGGGTACACAGGCCTTTGTCACCATTTGCAGTTCAACATAAAAGTACCGCCAAAACGTCCATCAGGGAACTATTTTGATAGGTCAAAATCACAATTACATATACACAAAGGACTCGAAATTCCGACTCAGTAGATGTTTAGCTACTAAAGAAGCGAATTAAAAGTGCTCCCTATTTAAAGAGCTTCAAATGAGTATCCGGCATTGGAAGAACAGCGTGCATAAATACATCTATGCTGAACGCATCACATCGACACAAAGCGGTGTCGCATTAACTAAGATGTAATTTCCCAGATAGGAATAAGATTGCTTGTTAAACTATTGGCAAAGGTAAGATTAGCAGTGAATGAGTTACGTGCAGTACAAGAACGTCTAAATGTCGTGTTATTGCAGTGTAACCCCCTGTTTTACTATACTGTCTTTTGTTAGAACACTATGCAGTTTGCCCTTTGGCAGTAAGCATAGAGGTATTTTGCACACATCTTCTGTTGAAGTGGCGTATTGTCGAACATTTTTTTGTTTAGGAAAACACGTGTATGCTGTCTAAAGTCCCGAATCGTCTTCTTCTCCTTGCGGGTTCAGCCTACCTATCCACTCTAATAACAAAGCTGGCGTAAACGTTAACTGTTTACAAAGTGTTCCGCTTTGAACACGTTAAACAGCATTAAATATGACCAGTGCTCGATTAGTGAGCAAAGTTTAGGTGGCAATCAGTGAGACTCAGAGTTAAAACAACGGATAAATCAAGAGTGATATACAAACTGTACATTTTGCTAGACAAAAAAATCAGGTTTTGCCGCCAAGCCGGTTCACCATTAATTTATAAATGTTTAATGGGCTTAATTTACCTATCTAGGGCACATCGGAAGCATTCAGGACTAAGCAGCATTTTAATAAAACAACGCCTACCTCAAAACCATCAAGTTGACAAAGCTGAAGATTCACCAGTGCTGAGGAAGCAGCAAGCACAATTTGCGCATAAGCCGGATCAGACGGGAGCATTGGCAACAGTCGAGTGCATATCTGGAGCGAAAATAAACTTTTTTTGGGCGACATCATTCAAAGAAACGCTGCGGATCTATGGAAGTTGTCTGACAATACGCTTCGATGTTGCAAAACTACTTTACACGTTACCTGTTTGAGTACATCGGCGAAATCGTGAGTATAATTGAGTAGAGTCAATCAGTAACCGAAAACCACTAGCAAAACGGAGGCAAGTAGGACCTTATCCATTACCCTAGATTCTAAATTTGGCCTTTACACGTAGAAATGCGTCATGTGTTAAAAAGGCAGGGCTGAACTAACTGGCATCAATAAAGCCATAGCCGGAACACAACGCATACAGAATGGCGAACATCGATCACGCAAGAGCATAACAATATTTTGATGACGCTACGCAATCGTTAGTAGAAATTGTCACCAAAATTGATGAATAAACACCAAAGAAGAGCATCAACAGAGCTTAAGTAGGCTTTGGGTGTAGAGCATAACGGTGGCTAAATGAACTAAAAGCGATGCTAGGTGACACCAAACGCACCGCCTACTCCCTTTCTTGCACCAACCAAGTTGGTAGATTGGGCGAGCTGAAATCAAAATCATACCATTGTTTGTTAAGTAAGGGAATTGCACGTTGTTATGAAAATGCAAGGTATTCGAATTGGGATCTCTGCGATTATAAACAAACCCGATGAATTGTGTAAATCGACTACATTTAAAGGAAGAGAGATGAAAACTCGTCTAAAAATGGGGAAAGCGGTAGGTGCGTATTCCACCACGTCTCCTAGTTAACGTATGTAAATGAGGAATTATGGGTTCCCGCCATGAAAGAATGTTACGGAATCGGAATAGTCATCCAACTGTATGTTGGTGTTAGTAGTGCAAAATAACCAAATTCTGATAAATTATTGTTAAAGTAAAAGTACACGTTTACAGGACTGGGAAGAGCTCAATTGAGATTACTAACTGATTTTTCTTCAAAAGAAAAAAATGCATAGTTGTGAGCATTGCTTACCTTGATCAAACAGTTAATAATTGAAGTATCGGCAAAGAGAGTGTGCTGAAGTGCGACTGACCTTGAGAGAGCATGAAGAAGCTGGCAGAGGGTGAGCTAGTAGGGGAGGGAAGAAAATGTAAGCTAAGCCAATCACTCGTGCTCTCATGGTCCGAGAATCCATTTTATAAGATACCGTGCTAAACATTGAGACCGCTTAGATGAAACATGGCGTCGTTTAATACGAAACTGCGATGCCAATTTAACACGACAACAGTGATTCGCTATTTAATCACGGACACCGTGGGCTAGCCCAGATTTTACCAGGAGCTAAAAGAGTGCAACGTGGTTGTAACATTTCTCACATTATTGCCCGTAACTCTTTGCTTTACTATGCTGACTTCTGTTAGAACACTGCTCAGTTCGCTTCTCAGCAGATAACACGTGAATTTCTTTAAGTTTCGGATCTTCTTTAATGTTCTTCCTTTCCGGTGTGTCTGTTTGCTAAGGTCTGAACCGTCACTAGTACTGTAGCTGCAATATAACAACACTATTTTACTTGAAAAAAAGTTAAGCACATGTAAAAGTTGGCAATTACCGTGAGATTCAGACATGGGATTGTACTGCTGGCGTTCAATGAAGGGTGAGTGACGAACATCTGAATGAGAGCCTTAGTCATCGACAGTTCACCGATCTAAAGGTAGAAAAGCCATCAAAATCCAAATCTGTTATACCAAACAAACAAGATGTTGAACGATTTTAACTATGGTTACGTCGAAGCTTGCTCACCAACCATCACAGAGAATGATTTTCTTATTCTACTTGATAGCAATCCAATCAAACACGTCGATTTAATGTTTTTTGTGCAGTTTAAAAGTAGAATGAGAGATGGGGAAGCATGGACTAATGAAGGTCGACGCGAAAACACGTCCGTTAGCGATGCTAAGACAATCGGTCACAGCGACAGTGCACATTTATTCATGCAGGCCCAGCAAATGAAAATGAAAGCAATTGACATACTCGAACACGAACATCCTCGTATGTGGAGGCCAAACAGGCAAAAAGTCGAGAAAAGGGGGTGAGTTGTTCCAGGAAGTCAGAATGGTCGTTCTGAAATACACAATACAACCCACATGAAACGCCGCCTAAAACGCCAAAAGTCGCAACTGCGTTTGCACTTGACCTAAATTACCCTACTTAATTAGAAAAGAAGCACGACTTTGTGATTTGATGCACAAACCACGTAACCAACCAGACAAATCAGTGAAGCCTCAGTTGTCTCAAGGTCCAGTTATAACAACTGATTGCAAATTGAAAAAAGTGGATAGTCTTGCGTTTTTAAGTGCTACATGGGAAATGTTTATTTAAACTACTATGCTACAGTACTATTAACATTACATATTAGGCACAAGTAGGGACAATTTTTTTAATGCCATATGGCATGACTCGAGTAACAGACAACAGATACTTGAAAGGCCGTGTCGCTGATTGGACTGGAGTAGGCAAACAAAGCATGCAGATTTCACTCATACAACAATAATAACAATAGGAATAATAATTAGAGCAAAGGAACCCGTAGTGGCCAATCAACACAAGCGCGCACGATTGCCATACGTAGTCCAGCTACGCAATCAGTTGTCAAGACTGGGAAGGCAAAACACGAAACGCTAGAAATAACACTCCGACGAGGAAAATATCAACAACAAACAAAGCAACAGAAAGCTGCAGGAAAAATGTTGCAATATACTGTTCGGCAGTATTTTTTTCTATCAGGCGTGTGGGTGTGTCGATTGCGCGCTGTCTACGCAATAAAAACCTTGCATAGTAGAAGCAGTGAGTTTGTCACGGCGCCGCCGGCTAAGAGGTCAAAGGCGTTGCCTCGGTCTAGCGAGTTGCGACGCTGAGGCAGTCGCGCCTCTGGTCGTTAAAAATCGAAGTTCTAGCGTAACAAGAAACACGGGTTGCGAAAAGTGCAGAAACTACTTGGAACTTCAATCAGGCGTATTTGTAATTTTAGCAGAATATATTTTACGAAATCTTGTCGAAGACAAAACAATGTATTGCAACATTTTTCCACAACCTTCTGTTGCAATGTTTGCTGTTGACATTTTATAGGATTGGATAAATGAAAAAGAAGATGAAAGAAGAAGCTCGACCTCGGGCCAACCACGATCCTAGCCTATTACACCGCGTTGATCGCTTGCCGAGTTCGTACAGTCACTGATACATAAACCGCGAGTTACACTTCATTACTGATTACCTTAGAAACGAAGGCGTATCTAAAGGGAATTGAGTCAGCCTGGTATTTAAGCCAAAACTCGCTAGCAACGAGCTCTTGTTTTCTTTTAGTGGTGTTCATCACCACTGCAGATACGTTTGGCAAATAACACCAGGCTTTTGGTGTTTTAGCAAAAATACCACCCCGAGCATAAATGATTAACTGCAAAATTGCTACTAGGTAAGACGTCTGTGAGGACCCATACTGCCAAACCTTTATATCCTTAATTTTAATTAAACAAACCGAAGACGTTACCATTTTAAGACTGAAAATCCATCCAACGTAAGTGGCTACAATTATTACCCTGTTAGGATGTCCACATACCGTATTTTCTAACTAGATTTCCTTTCGTGCAAAGTGGATGCCAAAGGCGAGGTGACTGAGCCGAAAGCGCCTTGTTCCACACCACCAGGGTTCGATTTTATTGCAAAAGCTTTCAGTAAAATTGTATACATACTAACAGAAAAGGAAACTGTACGATTGGCTGGGTTAACCATGCGCGCGCAAAGACAGAAACGCGTGATATCCCAAAACTGGTTTGCGGGTGGCAACCTCGTGTTGATGGGACGACTGAAACGAATTCTTGCTCAGTAATCGGTGTTCCAGAAGTCCAATTGCCTTACAAGAACACACACACACACAAACTCACATAATCGTAAGCTGATTGGAGGGCCTTCAGTAGACACGAGACGCTGTCGTCAAACTCAGGGGCCAGAATTTGACTGTAGAGAAGGTGGCGATGCAGACTCTTCCGCTGTTTCAAGAGAAGTATGATCACATGACACGCCCAGGTGTTGACGCTGGTTCCACTGAGTGGCAGACTGTATTGTGTGAGGGGCTGCAGAATCTGCACAGACACAATTAAAAAGAATACATGAAAACATCAACTGGAACTTCCTCTCTTGGTACTGTTATGTGAACTAGGACTTATTTCCGATTGAAACAATCTTATTCAAATTATTGTGGGTAGGTTTGTCCGAAGAACATTGTTTAAGACGACGCTAATTGGTTGCAATCAGCCAGAGACAAGTGATGCGATTCAGCATAGACCACAGACCATTGCGAGCAGACCGCCTTCCTTGTACAAACGCTCATTCACCCCCCGATCCAAGTCAAGAGTGCCGCAGCAAGTGCACTTAGGCCTCGTAAACAGCCACTTTCATTGATGTCAGTGACTAAACATGACACGATAAGCGAGCGTTTAGGAAAATTCGTGCCAGATGAGTCTGCTCCGTTCGTAAATTCGGTCGAATCGTAATAAACTAGAAATGGCGTTTTCGAACAACGACTTCGTCAAAGCACAAGGCGATTCGCAGGTGCACTCATCATCCAGAAGCCAATTCGAGGTCTGATCAACTTCTGAAGAAATATACTTCTTGTCAAAGTGTCAGACATCACAGGAAAAATAGTTTAACACATTTACTACTAGTCGCTGGAAGTAGCATAAGGCTAGTTCTAGGCTCCAGAAGACCGATCACGTAAAAGGTGTCTGCGTAAAATAAAACGAAGTTCCAAGGCTTGACATTGGTAAAAACAAATAAAAAGACTTCGGTTAAAAAACCGGGAAAGTGCGCTTTAGTACTTGCTACTGTAACTTCTTTCGGATTACCTTTATGTCTACCTGTGCGGAAAAACCATTTTGCCTTTGCACACGAATGCCTGTTGTAAACTAAAATTTTGACTTCATTCAGATGTCGGCGCGCAGTCCGCCGCACATTTGCACATATTGGCGACACAAACAGCGCCTGCATAGTAGAACGATTAAAAGCGCCCCTTGTCTTAAACACAACAAACGCTACCAAAGTAAGATTCATTCCGTTTTTTGCCAAAACACGACATTAACTGGCTTTTGGCGAGGTGCCTGGCTCTAACTCACTGATGGCGGGTTGATGACAGTGCAAAAAATTCTTTATAAAGTGCAAAGTTGAGAGTTACTTCAAAGTAAAACAACCAAAGAGCCATTAATCACTCGATAATTGTGTTCAGATTTTCTAAAATAGATCGGGACCATAATGGGGTTTAGGGATTTTTCAGGAATGTTGACCATCGTCATGCTTAATTAAACGAACCTTTAGAGAAATCTGGTCGTCGGACAAGCCCAACCCATCAGAGCAGAGTGTCTCGTTTCCAAATCGATCGCAGACAACAATAGACGCCTCGGTGTGACTTGAGCACCGCCAGAAAAGTACGCCCCGCAGCAGTCCGACGAGCAGACACGTCATTCTGTCCGCCGTGCCGGAGAGTCCGAAGGCCCCATCGGGAGAGTACAGGTCCAGTTCCTCTTCGTCTTGCTTAGAGGAGTCATCGTTTTCGACCGATGATGACGAGGGAGAGCGAGGGAATTGATAGGTAGAACGGTAGATTATGGGATCACTGCAGGTCTCACGAGGACGACAGTCAGGGTTAAGCAAACGCCCCCGTGCAGACCCGAGAAAACAGCGAGAATAGGGTTGGGATAAATGAGAGTAGATAGAAATCAGGGCCGGCGGATCTGTTTCGCTCAAAACTACAAGGAGATTAACAAATACATATATATATGCGAAACCCCAAACCATGGCCTTCTCAAAGTCCAAAGATACCGCATCAAACAAAAAAAGGTTCCATTAACAGCGAGACTTTTAGACTTCTGCGGACAATACGTTATCATTCTGAAACCACGCCAACAATCATAAAAAGGCGACTTAACTGCATATGTAAGAAAACAAAACATGACGCATTAGAGACATGTCAATACAATACCGGCATAGGCTTTTACTATGAAATCGCTTTCCATGAAATCCGCTTTCAGATAAGATTCCAGAGCTACACACAGAAAACGAGCAATGGAATGCAGAGCTTGAGTTACATGACAAGTCAATTGGCTAGTAGGCAGCTCGAGGGAACTGCGAATTCCTCTCGCACAAATACGGTTGTGTGCGTGTGCTTGTGCGTTCGAAACTTCCAGAGGTCAATTTGGCAGAATCGCAGGAGACCACAAATCGGGTTTAGTCATATTGGCTATATTTTGAGAAATCAATAACTCCCAAAATCTTCAGAAAAACAAATTCCTCAATGAATCGTAGATGCTGAGGCACTGCGCTACGGAACTTTTAATTCCTGCACATTTGTCTGCGCTTGATTTAGTGATTTAGCTGTCATTTCCAAATTAATGCACGTAGCGAAAAAATTGGACTTTAACTCAATAAACACCTGAACACAGGCGCGTGGTAAATGCTAGCTCCAGTAAACATTTGCAGTAACCTTGGAACAATTCGAGATTACATTCACACCTAGTCTACTTAAAAAACTTGTATAATAAACCTATTGTGTTCATAAATACGCCTAATGCGCGTGGTGTCGCATCATCTATCGTTGATTTAAGAGTGAGAAGACTTGGTGTTCTCAGATTTGGAAGAGTGGAGAGCCACACATCCATCAAACTCACCACTTTTGAACATTTCGAAGGCAGGCGGCACGTGGTATAGGGTGAAGAATAGTGTCTTGAGGGAAAACCGGGCTATCTGAAAAAAAAATAAAGATTCCTGAACTTACGAAGCCGCTTATTTTGTCCGACTATCTTCATTACCAAAATCAATAGCCTTGGCGAAGAGGTGCGCGAATGTTAACTTTTTAAGTGGTGCTGGGAAAGTCAGCCTTACCCAAGACAAGTTTCTTCGTAAAATTATATCTTTACTCGTTTCACACGAATGCCTTAGCTACGGCACTTAAATGGTCAGACCATTTGTATATTTCTGCTACTTATTAACGGCTCTCATTAGTTAGATCTCGTTGGTCCATCAAGTCAAGGGCACGCGAGACACACACAAACTTTTAACTCTAGCGTCTCACTCGGCACTTGACTGGGGCAGTAAAGGGCCTCCGCACGAGGTCATGTGATTGTCCAAGACTAGGGGGGTGGGAGCTTGCGCTAGACAAGGGATGTGCGTATTGGTTTGCTAAGCGTGTGATTGTATAGGAACAGGTGGCAAAAATGTAGATCACCACAGCTCCACAGGTAAGCTATTATGACAGGTGTCTTAGGTACTTCCACGAATGAGGTTCTGCTGCCCAATTTAAACGCAAAAATTCGTCCTATCTGGCAATATCGAACATTGCAAGACGAATTAAAAAAAAAGGCAACTACGATGATTTGTCAGGAAGCCAAGGCAAATACCATCCTAACCGACTATCTGTGGTTTAAACACAGTAGTAATCTTAGTGGACAAGGGAGAGATGCCCTGGAAGGCGTCTGTGCGCAGAAGCTAGAGCTTATCAGATGTCAAACGCCAGATGTTCTACAACAAGATCATCTTTGGTAAGGATGAAAAACTAATGATTGAAGGGATAAAAATATTCGCTTAAGCAACTTGTGTTTTACACGTGTTAGCGACAGCTACATCGAAATTCTGAAAAACAAAGCCTTTGTTTCTGTTTATGTGCCATCATAACTGGCATAGCCTTTAAATCCGTGCACCAACGCATGCGAATCTCAAGGGTGGCCAACACAAAAGTACAGATGTTTGTAAATTTTCTGGTTATCACCGAGCATCGAACTCATGCCACAGCAGTTCAATGGCAATGTTGTCGAAATGTATCTATCATAACGCAGTCTATATTGTTAGCAGAACCACTACGTGGACAAGAATACGGTTTAAGGTAACAATCTCCATCAATACTTGTGCGAGCCGTCAAATTTTAAACGGCAAAAGTAATTTCTAGTGACTTTTCATTCCTTGCCTAAACGCTCATCAAAGTTCAATCTCTCATCTTCGGGTTTCCGACTTCATGAACGTTGACATGACCGGAAAACACCCGCTCTATTGTTCAACGTACTAAAAACAAAATTTCGGCTTGCCTAGTGCACCTACCGGTAAATCCATAAAAGGAAATGTCACGAAATTTGCAATGCAAAAAGCAAAACAAAAGCAAAAAGCAATGCTCAAAACTTCCGAGGCACACTGGGGAGAAGAGAGGGGCCACCGAGGGGCAGCGCCACTTACCGTGTGTATGGCGGCGTTGGGACACGGAGCTCGCCTGGCCAAGTCAAACGGGAGGATGAGGGAGCGCTCCTGGTGCAGGATGGGCGCGTGGCGGGGGCAGGCGGTGGCCATGACACGCTGATGCGCCATTCGCAACAGGTCGGGACCGCCCCGGCTAGCCAGCTCAGGGTGGGTTACCAAGAGCGCCAACAACTTTGTGAGGCAGATCAGGGTATTTGTGATTGCTGCGAGGTTCTCCTGATTCGGTGCACCCCGAAGACGAGAAAACAGTTGGTCACTGAGGCTAATCAGACTACCAAATTGATCAGCAGTAAAGAGGTCCTAAATATAGGATTAGTCTGAAATCACCTGACAAGAAAATCAGGGTTACATTAATCTTACAGGCCCAATCAACGCACCAATGCAGTCTGCTTCTTAAAGACGGGAACAGATTCGAGGTCCCGGTCCAGATTGTCTGCCTCAAAAAAGGTCTTCAAGAAGAGCATTATGGCCTCGCGCAGAGCGACATCGGTGCCCTCACATTCGAAGTTTGCTTAATAAAAATAAGCAACCAAGTGGATTGTCTAAAGTTATTTTTGAATGAAGTATTTCAGATTGAAGGGTGATTATCTATAAACGTGAAAAAAGTATTTCACATGTCCGAAAAAAACTATGAAAAATGAACTTAAGGCAAGTGTGAGCAACGGAACAAAGGCCTGAGAATAATAACTGCTACTGAAAGTAAATTGACATTGGAAGATTGATAAAGAAGGAAGACACGAATATACGAAACCCACCCGTATTGATTTCCAGCTAAGTTTTACAAATGGGTGTTCAAGCCATTGCTGAGCTTACCAACAACTAAATTCTTGTTGAAATTTAAAACGGGAGATACTAAACACACCATGAGAATACGTAACCCAGCGGACGTGTTTCAAGGCAAAGCGGAGGAGTGCGTGGTGTTATGTACCAGTGAGATGTTGAGACACATTCAGATTCCATCATCGGCGGAAGCAATAGCATGGCAAGTCCAAAATGTCAGCGGGAATTTCGAAACCCTTATTATCCGACTAACCCGACACACTATGCCAAAAACCATATACATTAAGGTGGAGACAATGCGAAACCCCATTGCAGTTAGCTCAAGAAGGTTTCGAAGTAAAAAGGCTGCTCTTACCGTCATTACTGTTTGAACAGTACCTGCTGAGAGGAGGTCATGCAAGAAGCGCTTCTGACCACACAGCTCTTCGGCGAAAGAGGGCACACCGCACAAGAAGCTGGAGTACAAGCAGAGCAGGTTGCGCTTAAAGCTGGCCGAGTAGTCGACAGACGTTGCAACCGACGTGCCCAATGAGATTATTCTAAAGAAAATAGGCAAACGAGTTTGTCGTGGTGAATCAGTCAAAAAAACTGCACAGCATTTTGAAACTAAAAAGTTTCGAATTAGTGTAAAATGTCACGCTACATAGCAGGATATAAAGCCTTTAAAAAAGTTAATCTCTGTACGAAAATAAAAAAACCTGATCACGTTTATCATTTAGGAGACAAGACATATGAACTTTCACCAGATCAAGCAGATTCTAATAGGAAAATGTTAAGCATGGATGAGCCTATCAAAAGACTACTCGATCAGTGACAAACCTTCTACGTATGGCTTCATGGTTGACGACGATTTGCTTGTTCATTGGGTTCGCGGTAACGAAATTGCGGATACACCTAGGCGGTAAAATAGTGTCACGAGATTTTAAATCCAACATACACGAGGGAGAGCATGAAAACAAGCTTTTTGACAACAATGGTTATTTCCCACTTTTATGAGCAATTTTGAAGGAACCCTTAACTTCAAAAGTTTTACTGCGAGCCTGTGAGGTGTTTGTACTTAAACACGCATACCCTGGGATAGTTTGTGACCGCTGAAGGAATCTGCCAAGCCATAAAAAGTGCTATTGAGATGCTCGTTACCAAATATCGAATCTGCTTTTGATCAGTAGACTTTTGAATCACGAGGAATCCCTGATATCTACAATGCACTGTGACGACCCAAATGTTACATCGATGCGAATTCAAGCACTTCAGCTGCGAATTTAGCCCTAGCTACCAAGAAAGTTCTCTAAAAACGCCAATACAGTGGACTGTGAAAATAATTTTCGTCGTGCGATCCAGCAGAGAACGTAATGATACAATATTGGATAGAGAAATTGACGGGCAAACATTTTTGCATGGTATGAGTGTGAGCAGACTGCCTACCATTGATAGGTGTTTTGTTAAACGAAAAATTTCTGTGGACATATTTTGTTGTGCCTGGCTGCGAGAAGGGAACACCGTAGGGAATAAACAACACCTAAAAATAACCCCACGATAACCGGTAGAACAAAGTCGTGCTTTTCCACGTGATTTACAATTCCATATCATAAAAAAATGCTTAGCTAGGCAGTCCGAATATCTTCCAAATACAGCTTTTCCAATTAGTTGTGCGTGCATCGTAACGGACAATGAGAAAAACTTAATCAGTATGGTAAGGGGAGCCAAATGCATAGACTCGACAGATTCAACTGCCTCGGGAATATGATAATCCTTTGGCCTGTAGACAATCGTAATTATGCAAGTAAGGAGGATGGTGGTTTTGCACGGATGCACGCCGTGAGGCTTCCCCGTCCACGCAGTAAACCAACAAAACCAATGTACCCTTCTAAACCCGAGTGCATTGGTCGCAGCCATGACCGTAGCTGTGACGATGAGTTCTGCGGACGCCTCCAGTTTCACTTTAACTTGTCTGTGGTGTGAACTACTCATGACCCCGGGATTCGCAAATGCCGCTCAGGCACCACGCACCTCGGTGTTAGTAGTTACTTGTGAGTATTTTGGAGGGAAAATCTCACCGGATAGCTCTGAGGTTTGCTGTCGGAGAAGGCGAATCCAAATCTCTGAGAAAACCCTCCTCGAGCAGTTGGCTCGCTCCAGTCCATGCAGTGGATGCAGCGAGCCAAGCACCAGTGGATGGGACGAATTGAGATGTCATTCCGCTTCGTTTCTGAATTTAGCAAAATTAGATACACATAGAGTGTTTCGCGACAACAAAACTGCACAAAATTGGTTGCTTTTTGTCAACAAACATGAGAATCGAGTCTTCCTTTTGGAAAAATTTGCTAGATACAGACTAAGTGATGAAATTCACGCAATTATCTAACCTCGTCACTGCTAGAGACATGATTTATTTCTCAAATGAAGATACATGGAACAATCTTTACTGCCACTTATAGGTGTTGTGGAAACACTTTAGTGGACGGATACAAAAGTGTTCAGTTAACATTTCTGTGAGGCCTGAACGGTGATCGATTTCACTTCCTTATTTGCTAAGGCAACAGACGGAGCGAGTTGATGTCCCTGCAAACAACATACTGAGGCAGTGGCTCTGTTGTTAACTTCGTTTTATGAAAAAAAATTAATATCAAGTCATTATCTTCATTCCTCCATTCATCTGCCGTCCAGCAGTCATACAAACTTTAAAACAATTTCCTGATCATCCACCTTTTAACCTGCATGAGGTGGCCAAAGAACAGTTGGTGTGTCCTGCCGAAAATGATTATTTCGAAAATAACTGAAATGGACACCTCCAACAATGAAACCATTCAAAATGTAAGGCCTTCTTCCATATTAAGTTGATCAATGACTAAACAAGAAGTTAATGCTTGGGAACGAGGTTAGTGATAAATTAAAATAAAATGAGCAGAAAATCTTACAGAATTACAATGTTATCTGAAAGTTAAACTAGCTGACAAGCTGGATGAATTACTTTTTACTAGTGTTGGATGCTAATTTAGTAGTTAGAAAACACATTTCCTGCTGACAGTTCATCCTTTTAAGCGGCCGCACACACGCATCCAACATTTCATTCCCTGCAGCGAGTCGTAAAAACATTCATGTCGTGATACGGGGATGGTATATACGTTACAGTGAACAGTAAACTCGATTTCAGCATCATCTCTACACATAACGAAAATTTGCACACAAAGATGGAATAATGGGTAAATGTTTGACTGTGTTTACAAGAAATTGACCAATCGAAATGGACTTCCGACCACAGCGTTACCAACTACGTGGTGGCTTGTTGTACGAGGGTTTTCATTGCCAAATAATAAGTTAGGTAAGTGAAAATCACCGACTCCAAACTGGAGACATAATAAGCATTCATGCCTCCAAGGGAGTCAAAATTCATGCCTTAAGGCAACAGAGCAACACGAACACACTGAATTTGTTCTATGCGATTCGAAGCACTTGTCATAACAAAGTGTGCAAGAGCGTTTAATAAGTTCAGGCAATGGGGCGGTAGGTCACAGCAAATATTGGTTTTGCCTCTCAAAACACAGAAAATGTGGCAAATACGATAATCTTCTGGTGGAGTATACTGGACTTCCATTTACAGTTTGATTAAAAAGGTAACATAAGCATTAGAAACTAGGATCAACCTGTCGGCAAGATGTCAACCACACGCCCAAGCAGATATTCATCTAACACCAACATCGAGGTGTGATCCGACTTGCATTTCGATTGTCGATGGGAATTACACACACTGAAGCACTCAAATTTCAGGCGTGTTTTTAAGAGAATCGATAGACGCGTAATAGATTCTCCACTTGTCCTGAAGGAATTGAATCATTTACTTTGCATTTTAACTTGATGAGAAGTATGACATTAGATCTACCGCCAAGTGTCCTCCCCATGAAACCAACCAAGGACTATTTTGAGAAAAAATAAAACCACGGACGAGTTGCATCCAATCAAACTATAATATTTTCATTTATCTGTTGGAAATGTTCTAATATTTGTAATTGTAAGCACAATAACGCATTCTAACTAGTTTTATGCAGTCGTGTGTTGATTTTTCTTAACTAAAAGCAGTCCACGTGCAAGAACGCTCAGGAACCCCAAAGCAATGAGGTAACGGAAAATCCCAAGGATAACTACAAAACGCGTCAACAATAAAAGAATGCCTTTGACTGAAATCTAATAGGCGACACAGTCACATACCATGTTTACTTTGACAACGCGGCGCAAGTGGTAAACGCGACGAGGAACGATATGCGATTCACCAGCAGACGCAAAGACAAGGTCCCGGTGTCAGAGCAATTATATGGGCGGTGACACCGAATTTCAAATCTCAAACACATGATAAACATGATTTCTGTGCGGAACAAGTTTGATTTAACGGTTTGGACTAATTATACTCGAAGCAACTTCCTAGAATAGGGACCGCCAAATATATCATAAACCGTTTTTACATGCAAATCTGAAGGGTTAGGTATTTAACAATCATGTAGACAAGTGTTAGACAAAACAGCGAACCGTTAAGACAACCCAGTATTATGGATTGAAGGGCCATAATTTGATATATACTATTGGCTTACTGTCGAAATGACTTCCGAGTGCGCGGCCAGCAGAAATAAGCCTTATAAAAGTGAGCTAATTTCGATAGTGTGAAAATCTTAAGGTTTCAAAACACAGGCCTTCTATCAAAGAAAACAAAATTACATTAATAAAAAATCGATAACTCTGCCCTCAACACGATTATACTTATTAAGGGAAGTCAATCCAAATTTCCTCAAGTGAAGAAATGTCATATACTTGAAGTAAGCGAACTAAAGAAAAGTTGCGCAGCTAACGTAAGTGGACGAAAATCTTACAATGAGGAAAGAAGATAGTTCTTATTGTTTATTTGAAACACTTACACGGAGTTAATTCACGCTTATTTTCATTTGCACTACCGATCGTACTATAATCTTTTTGGTCTCTAATGCCTTTTCAGCAGCCCTTTTGAACAACGTAATTTGAGTCGATGGTGAAATAAAGTACCAATATAAATAATAGCAGCAAACATGGCCCAGTTCCGTTCGGTAAATTAACGCCATACTCGCTGCAACATAAGTTATTTCTATTCAACTAACTGGAAGCTGAAGCTGTACATGTCACAGGAATTGTGGTCACCGAGAGTGACCACTCCAAGGGCAGCGAGACAATCGGGCCAAAACCGGAGCTCAAGTGGGAATCGGCAAATGTGCATCCTCCATGCGTCAAAGTCCTTTGGCATTAGACAATGTGTTTGGATAAGGAAAGTCAGAGGACACTGACCAGGCCAATAAAGTGACTGAGCAAAATGGTCAGGAATTTGGTTATATCTAACCACGAACAAGCAAACCAATACGTAGATTTGAGAGTAAAGCTATCCTATTAAGCTTCACAAGCACCCTTTCTTTACCATAAGCCGCTGAATATTTACAATCCCAAAGCTTCAAACATAGTGACACTAGCACCGACTTTTTGGTTGGCTTGCCTGTTTTCTAACGCTTATGACATTGAGAATAGAAGTCAAGTGCAATTACACTGATTTTGAGCTAAAGAAACAAGCATGTGAACAAACAAGAGGTCCTTTACTTCGAATAATTGTTTAGCAGGACATGGTAACGAAAACAGATAGTGTGAGAAAATTAACTTCGACAATTTAAGTATGCTAGATCGTAAACTAACCTGTTGCAGGTTTGCAACAACTTTAAAACAGGGACCGACCTTTTAGTTATGCGTGTGATATTCCCCTGCCAGATTTAAATCGCCTGAGATTAAGGGGCTTCCCATATATCAAATACATACTTTAGCACCAATGACGACCACCACTTCGACACTTTACCTTTCCGTACAGTATACAGAGGAAACTGACAGACGAACAACACCGGTGGTTACTGCAGAACGGTTATTCGATTAAGACAAACAGGAAGTAAAAATGCATAAATTTGTTAATCAGTTAGAATGGTCTTTTATCCCGATCAAAGGACTTCCTTAGTTATGTACGGTACACCCCGTGTAACAGCAAAGGTAAAGCTTAAGTAATTAAATTAACAATGTAGCTTCGTTAATAAATTTGCAACAGAAAATATGGCAAGAAAATGAGTAATCAATAAAATTCAGTTAGTGTTAATCGTGAATGAGCTCAAAATTAAAGTGCAAATTAGCTAAGGGAACGTATCTCCACGACATGGTAAGTGAGACAAAATGTCATTTCTATTTATGTCATTTGTTAAAGTCAGAGTGAAGCTTTCAAGAACAAACAGGGGTGTTCATACATATAACAATGGCTACGAAAAAAGCCTAGTGAATCTTATCAACGAACCCAAATTAGCTGTTTCCTGCTAAAAATACAACATTCTTTCGAGTTTTAGAAGACCATTTCTGTTTAAAGTATACATTGACAAACGGCCCCACAACCAGGTTGACCACATACAACCACCAGTTTTTAGAAAGGATCAATTAAATAAGGCAGCACTGATTACACTACTGGTATATGTCCAGTGAAACTTGTAGGCATTAAATGGCTGTTCTGTTTTAAAAATTGCATTAGAATATGACAAACCCTGATTTTAGAGGAAAATTAAGACTTTACATGACCAAACAGTCACATGTTTCTAGAAGATGTTATACTTGGCAGTTACAAATGATGGTCATCTGTTTATGACTTTAAATGTATTTTTTTCAATCATGGGCATTTAAAGGCAATTGGTGCGTACTTTAAATTTACTCGCATACTTTCCATTAAAAAAATCAGCAAACTTGATTCATATTACTATAACCCAGAGAAAAATAAATCATTTAATGATCCGACCTACCAAAGAATTCCTTACTTATCCAGAAACTGATGGGCAATTTTTGACAAAATGAGCATGTGGATCAAGAGGGGGGCAAGGTCATGAAGCTATAGTTTGACGACGTATAAGGGCGCAGACATGTTGGACCACCCTGGAGTTAGCTATTCCCCTGTCTCTCTGCTTTCCAATGGCATAAGAGGAAGATATGCAGTCAAACAGAGATATACACCAATGAGGAGCAATATATAATGAGCGGCGTGGCCAGCGTCGTGGACTTATATGGACGGCGCCTGATGTGTGATTCTGGCAGGTGATTGATCAATAAAGCCTGTCCTGTTGTGTCAGACTTCTTCCTATTAGGCATTGGGCATTCTATAGTAGCAACGCATAAGTGCACAGGCATATTATACCACACCACCTTAAGCTGACCCTCAGTCTCTTTATGTTCGAATCGCATGCAAGGAAAATATGCAGCCAACCAAAGACAGACACAAATGAGGAGCAGTATATAATGAGCGGCGTGACCAGGTTTTAACCGCATGCAAAATCGATCTCTCGAGAGTATTATAAGTATTGATAGCTTTTGATACTTGAATCAAATTGCTAATTAATTACAATTTTAAATAATTGAAACAAAGAAATGGTGAGTAACTGCTATTTTAATAGTTAAAAGTGCCTGAGGGCATTTAATTTAAACGATTTGATAGGATTCTAACTCAAATTGTTGTTTAGAACCTTTATATTTAGCTAAAGTGTGGTCGGCAACATCCACCATTTATTCTAAACGTCTGATGTAAAATCCGAATAGAATAAAAGACATGGAGTGTTTTATGCTGAATTTATGTTTCCAAAATCAAGCATTCAATCCTACTGTTTATCTTCGTAGGAAATATTATTTTAAAATTCCACAGAAATTCGTTTTTAGGTGTTTTATTAAAATGCGATCCTCAGAAAGCTTCGAATATTAATTCCTACTGCTAATAGTTACTGATGGATGGCACAATAAATCCGGAATTCAGTAAATCACTGGTGTCTGCGATTATTTCGCCTCAATCGCAAGTTTCCACTTAGACCTTTGAGAGAAACTGGCTATATTTTAACAAATTTAATTATTTTTGTGCGAATAATTCATTTTTGCAATTAAAATTGTCGATGACTTTGTTTGTCTATGTGAGTAGTTGGTTTATGAACGTCTTAATCCCCTAATATTGGTGGGAACGTCGCAATTTGTCTTACTAGTGGCATTATTTATTGCTTATTTTGCTTTTAATTAAAAAACATCTATGAAAAATGCATTTTCTTCTTTTTCTCGTATGTCCAGAAGCCCGCGATTAAATCCACTTTCAACGTTGCCCTATCTATCTCACAAGTTCTGCTAAGTAAATTAGTACGACCCCCAGGCACAAGTGAATGGTAGATTTAATAAGTAACTTCTTTACCCTAATCTGACACCCAAGTATTTGTGCATAATCTAATTAGTACTATATCTTTTCAATAATTCTATACTGCTTAAAACATTCAAGAATGTTTTCATGCCTCGATATTGATCTTACATATCTCAACGATAGGACTTTATAGTCTCATATATGCATGCTTACATCCTTATGTAAACATAATATCTAGAGTGTATGAAGTAATTGCTGTCTGCAAATAGCGCGCATGTATATTTTAATTTAGAAATACATTTCCGTTCCTCTACAGACCTCGTAAAAATTTCATCTGTAGACATTCACAATAAAGGTAGAGTTGTATTTACTCATGCTTTTAGAAGTATTATTAGATCAGCAACCATTTTAAGTGATGTTATGTTTTTTTGGGCCTGACAGGGTAGCAATTTTGAATCACATGTGTTGAGACGCCATATCTCACTAACTGCAGTTTAATTTAATTTTTCCGATTCTACAGGTCAGGTGTTTTAATGGCGCTAAAAGCATGCACGTGTCGTGAGTTTGTCAAACAATTACGCAAACATAAAAATTAGCGTTTGCAAGTTTTTCCTGAAACATAAACTGTAGAATGTCATTAGTCTTGCTTCTTGCCATATTTTTCCTGGAGAGTTCGATAAATTTCACGAATGTTGGTGGCATAATATCTAATCTGCACCAGGCTTAATAAAGGAATAAGTCCAAAGTCATATGTGCTTTCGAAAATTGCAAGGACTCACAATAGGCAGGATTAGTGGTGGTTAGAACTAACAAAATCACGTCGGAGTTTACATATGACTGTTCTACTATTTATTTAACTTATGAGCAATAAATGGGCTAAGGAAGATCTAACTCCTGTGAATTCACCTAAAATTTGTTCTTTAGTTAACTTAACTATTGAGTACCGGGTTAGTGAAGCAAACATGTCCATGTTTTTGAGTTTCTTTGAATTCATTAGAGCCGCTGCTGATAATAAATTAATAATTTTGCTGGTTATCTGCTCTACAAATGTCTATACAAGATCACTTCAGGCAAATTGAAAACTCGAGTGCAAAAATATGCCTTCAAACTGTCATTTATAGTTACATTTTTGAGATAAAATTGAAGGGTTTTTCCCTTTCTAAATATTTGTATCACCAGACAATGGTGACCTTCCATGCCAGAAAATCAGTGATTTGCGATTTATTCAGTTAAAAATTCTGAATGAGTTATAAATGGCATTATTCTACTAAATCAACGCTTTTACTTAAAATTCACATTGTAACTATCATCAGGCTATGTGCTTGAGTACAAAATTAGACAGGGAAGATACAAATCATTTACTTATTAAAGATTGCGCCTAAAAGATTATTAGGAACAGTCATAATCATCTATTTTAAGTCCATTTAATTCCTCAACTATCAATGCTGTGCTCCGATTTTTAAAACTAATGAAAGTATTCACTTGGTAATCTCGCTTTTAGCAACTGTTGCTTTTGCTACAAATTCTCCGTCAGTTTAAAATGTCACTGTGTAACGTTTTTAAGGTATCTTAGTAAAAGTGACTTGAGCTGATCGCTGGCAACCTATGCTTTCCTGCATACGAACGTCACGCCTGCGAGGGAGTGTGGTTGTGTGACCATCACTCGGAAAACCTGTGCTGAATTTTTCAGTGTAGCTTACTTGTGTGGGAGACAAACTAAATTATCGCGAAATAAAGCCTAGCTAATGCTCGAAATTCTGCTAGACGCACGGTTATGTTCTAAAGGCTCAGCAATCTACTATCAGGGACGAATCCCCGTTCTACTTAAAAGTCTATCTCAAGGCGCAAGTGTTATTGTAGTTTCAACAAATATCCGCTAGCTTCTTAGATCATAAATGTGCCAGTACTGAAGTATAAAATGATCCATTGATTTGACTTGCAAGATGGTTTAAAATAAAATACAACTTCCCTCCTAAAATTAAGTAGTGTCTGCTAGTTCCACCTTGATGCATTTAAGTGCCACTCAAGACTTCTGAGAAAATGGCATTTTCACAGGTAAAATGCTGGCAGATATAGGTGAATAATATAATTGCTACCTTGCATGACAGAAACCAAAACCATCTTACCCCATACCTGTTGCCATGATGACTGGTGTAAAGGAGGCATCTTACTCCAGCCTGCGCCAACAGGTTCTGGTCAATTTTTTATTAATCCCGACGAAATCAAACACCATTGCACAACAGGGCGTTTCGAGGTCAAATATGGTGCTAGTTGTCCGATGGCAGACTTCCAGAAGTCCAGCAGGGCAACGATGAAAAGTAAACCAAAAAATTGTTATGAGTATTCTTGAGTTGTCCTTAACTAAAATGAGTCTGACATATTTAAAAGCTAAAGCTTGAATGCATAAATTTGTCGAGTAACTGTGCTGCAAATACGAGTAAAGTTTAAATCAATCAATGCTGACAATTTCTATTGGGATGAGTCGTGCACCAAAAAACATCCAAAAAGAATGCGGCGATGTAGAAAGAATAAACGGGATGTTTAACACGTTTCCAATATTCCTATTTATGATTGCCTGCAAGGAACTTTTACAAATGCATCAGTTGTGACGTCAGCGTCAAGAAGATTTCTACCAAATACGTACCTGATAAGAAAGTTCCTCCTACATGAAAATTAGATTTAAGGGAGGTTTTTTTGACAGGGAAAAGTCAGATTTATTTGGATTCTATTGCGCTTCCATTTGATGTCTGACGTTTCAGAAGGGATTTCCAGACTCAGTTAGTGAAAACCAAGCCATAAGACAGTTGATCTTCGAAAATTGTAAAGCTTAAACAACTACAAACTGAGATCCTTCTAGTATCAACCAAAACTGACCTTGCATTCAATTATGTGAATTTAACTCAAGGTACGGATTTATTTTCCTTCGATTTCCCGGGTTTTAAATCAAGCGTATTCTCTTTGAGAAGCTGATGTGACGAAATTTCCATCAGAGTAGACAATGATGTCTCTGGAAATCGCTGCATTCGTCGTTATTGAAGAACCAAAGAGTCTAAGCTAAGCGTTGGTGGTTGAGAGCAGAAATGCTCCACAGGAATTTCAATTAAAACCTATCGGTCAATGTCCACTTTAGTGTTGTAAAACCGAAGAAAAAGTGTAAATGGTAATAATTTAATTTCGGCATTTAAGCTGGCTTTGTTAAATAAATATATTTGATAAAACATTGACCTTCCCAAGACTGTGCTATTGTATTTCCTCCAACCTAATACGTGTAGTTTACTCTAACGAGTTTATCAACCCTATCTCCAAAGAAAATCGAAAAATGACTTGCAATACCTAGTGACCACTGATAGCGTTTTTCTAGTAGAATAACACAAATGTAAACTCAGACATACTAGTCTGTTTGACGCTTTGCTCCAAGTGCGGCAGAGCGTGAGTTGAGGTAAACGTACAAGGCCATGGGGTCGTTTGTCGTCAATACAGCTATGGTTCTGGCGGCATAATCATGACGAAAAGAACTTCCGTGTAAGATATAATCAAAGGCAACTCCACGCTCAACCATATTGAAAACTTTTTGGAGTTTCCGTATGTACGAAAACGTAACCTGGTGGTAGATTAGGCAAGAATAAAGCGTGACGGTATATAACTAAAATCAAATTCTTGTTGTGCTGCATTTAAACAAAAGTAAACTGGAATCGACAAAATTCTATCCAGCGTTAAATGAACCAACAGACCTGTTTGTTCGACGTTTGGCTCCAAGTACTGCGATGCCCATACACACATCTTGAGAAACAGTGTTTTACACAAGGAAACAGCAAGAAATGCGAATGGACAATCAGAGCACTTGTCGCGAAAAAGACACGAAGCAAATTACCCCTCCGTGGAGTTCACTCAAGATGAGCACCGAAACTGCTCCGGCACCACTTCGCGGAAGAATTTATTGGGCCGCGGTTCGATAGTGGGTGGTGCTTGCGTCCTGATTGGTTTCCGTCTTGCGTGTCAGCGCCTGCTTCGAGAGAGCGTGAAAAACAAATTATAGTCCTTACACGTACTCACGGAGGCAGGCGCGTAGGTACTACCCCTACCTATCGACTGGTACTCAACACCATTCGTCTGCAGGACGTCTGTGGCAAGCATCAACACGTGCGTGTATGCGTGTGAGGTATTAACTGGCACCTTTCAACCTCATTGCACGGGTTCTGCGACAACGGATGTGTTGCTGCATAGGGTGCGCACGCTCCTGTTTTCGAAGTAGTTGGAGTACGGTAAGAGGTATAGGCGCGCTCCGCCAATGAAATAAGAGTCAAATAATATGAATCGTTCCAAAACGGGTACCCTGTCAATAAGTATAAGATTGCCAATTGAATAGGCAGCCATTCACAAATCGGCTAGCAGGTTGCTGAGATTTACTCAGTACGTAGACGTAAGTCCTGAGCGTTATTAGTTCAAACCCATGTTTTGCACGTCAACGACTTGCCAAAGGTTTAAGAAAAAGTCGACATCAAAGTGGAAGTCAAGAGTATGGTCAAATATGCCCACCTAAGAGTGATATTGGTCTGATGATTTCAGTGAATAACATTGAGTGATGAGTTATTAGGGCGAACAACGTCCCAGCATGATTATAGAGTTGTGGTCGTGTGGACGTAGCTAATTAAATAAACTTCACAAATCTCAATTTTTATTGATTTGCCTTGAGAAATGTTGATAACCTCAACACAGGTTCTCTAAGTGCGCTAAACCAAACTAATCGGTCACTCGTTAAAGCACGACAAATGCTTTGACACTCATTCGCATAAAGTTAGGCTGAGCTAAATGCCAGTAGATGTTCTGACCCCTTGTAAAAGCCGGTAGAAAAGAATGATAAGACTACTGTAAAATTTTTATTATATTCTCTTCTTACCACATGAAGTGGACCAGCAAAGATGCCAAGACCAATGTGTCCAGACATTGTTTTACCTCGATGACCTCAAATATGGATTAAATGTTACTCCATCCAGCATTTCTTGGCACCGCTTGCAGTCGTGACGCTTGAAAATCATTCGGATAACTAATTTCAGGCCAAACCTAATTCGATCCTGTCCAAGATCCTTAGTGTATGGCCATTATGCCGTTCACAATCATTTTCGGACACCAAGTTTGACCAAAACTGCCTTAAATTGGCTGTATATATTGTTGCAGGTCACTTAGCTTGCTGAAAACTCGCGTATGGCTTGTCAGACTTCATCCAGTAAAATTTGGCACAACAGTGTTCCTTGATTTCGTTGTGGAGTTAAGTAGTTTCTATAAAGTTAGATGCGTGTCTTCAAATTAGCTGATCATGCCGATTTAAGTTGCTGTTAGAAAAATTAATTTTCGACAACTTTTACCCCCATTCGTAATATTTGCGTAAAGTGCTATTTTAATTTTTTGGGTCTAAACTATGTGTCAAGGTAGTCATTACCGCAAAGAAAAGCCCTGTAGTGATAATCTTTGAATTTAAATTGACAATTATGGTAATCAAAGTCACGCAGAAACCAATAACAATGAAGTACTGACTTTTGGCACTTTAGAGCGTTTTGATTATCCGCCTAGTGACGTTAGTGCTGTAGTATTTTATTCAATTACGACGCGATTTATCACTTTGAACGCAGTAATTCCATGTAATGTATTTATCGTCCCGTCAGTTAACACTGAGGTTTGCACTGTCAAAAACGCGCGGCGACTTGACAGTTAAGCGCAGTTGAGTAGCATATCATCGCTGCTGAACAACGGTGCGCCAGTTATAGATAGGGCTGTGTTGCACACTTGCTAAAGCATGCCCTCGGGAAAGCGAAAATAAATTGCTAAAATGGGTGATGCAGCAACTGATTTTAGAGCCCGTTATTTTGTGCTTGGCACAGATTCAGATGCAACTACACTCACATATCATAGCCTCAGGATTTTCAGGTTGCATAATGACTTAAGGAGCAGTGGCAGATAAGAATACTTCACACGATTGCTAAACCTATGTTAAGGATTTAATGGTATACAGCAAACATTGTCCCATACACGACTACTATTGGACATTACATTAAAAGGAGGAAATACAAGTAAAAAGGAAGCAACATAAGGCCAGACCGTCGACGTTTGCCAAACCTCATCGACAGTAGAAGAATCTTTCGAGTAATTGAATTAAAGGCCTTACATGAGTGGCTCTCTCTGTGTTGGGTTTGTAGACGGTTTGTTGACGCAAATCCCTGAGCTAATAGTTGGAACCCTTTGCTCGGCATGTCGAAGGCTTCCCGGAATGAGAGAAGACTATAGCCTGAGCAGAGATTTTTACTTTATGGACCAAAGGTATCGATGGGGCTAAAGCGGAAGTCGTGTGAATGCTCAGATGTGTCCACCTACATACTTCTGAGCCATCAGAGTTCGATGAGTTGAGTAAATAACACTGAGTGATGAGTCGTTGGTGGAAGCAACGATGTAGCACGACAGCAGAGATGGAATCAAGTGAACAGCGTTGAACACCCTGTTAGTCTATTTGTCATGGGGAATGCCGACATCCCCAACATTTTGTGATGCATATTATCGGTCTTGGTGACATTCAGTTTACAAAGGTAGTAATTTTCCAACATCGTCCTAGATGAACAACAATGGATCTCATCATGGAATCCTAAATCAACTGAGCCGAATGACAAAGGCTAGTGGATGCAGGTTTTACTAACGGCACAGAATGATCCCTTTTCATGCTGTCGTTTTCAAGTTTTCGATAGAGATATTCAAATCATTTAGAAGCCCACGGAATGCATCACTGCGTTTTGCAGAATTTTGAAATTCAACAGTCATTCAATTCATTTAATAAGGACCCATTCAAATGTACTACAATTGTCATTTAAAATGGCCAGTTTCTGTGCAGATTTATCATCGTATAGGAATACATAGTCACATTTTATCGGCAAGTCATACACAAGCGTGTTTTATTGGAACAAAAAATATGCAGGTCTAGAAAACCTAAGTTGTACACAACGTTCGACTTTTTAGCATAAAATTATTCTTTGAAGGAGCAATTTTCTCTCCGGTTTAAAAGCAATCATCAGAAAATCTTTAAAGGGAAGTGCTTTAAAATCGACCTCCTGACCTCTAAATATTCAGAATGCTTAAAGTCAGGTTGTTCGGAGTGAATCTTCAGTCAATTTCCGCATTACCATCTTAGAAATTGGGGGTGGTTGCATGTGAAATTTAAGGGGAAATTTTGCGTAGACGAATTTGTTTAATAATGAAATGATGTGTTTCAATACAATTCATCCAATGCGGTTGGTTGGGATTTGGGTGAAGTTATACTGTAAACGAACGATAAACTACGTTGGCATATATGAAACATGACCCGTTATATGCAACCTGAGTTTCTCATGACGTAATAAGGCGAAAAAAATCTTGAAAAAACTTATTTTTTCATCAAAATGTGACAGGGTTCAAGATTAACTCCCTCAGTTTGTGTTTTTCGAGCAAAACTTTTGGGCCGGTAAGTAAAGGAAGATTTAGATGTCACCAAATAGATTCAGATGCAACAGAAAGCCACTTTTTTTATGTGAGCATGCCACGTTTGTTTTAATCGACTTCTAGCAAAATTATGCGCAAATACTGACGCATCCAATCCCAAGTCAATTGACTCTTTTTCCTAGCCAACTTCCTCTATCTATTGAAAATGCCTACCTTTTAAAGAATCACAAAATTTCGCTCAGGCAAATTGATCATTGTTTTAAGTTATAGCTGTATTTGTCTCAAGCAAAAGTTCCTGAAATGCTTTACATTTTTCGTGATCCAAGTCGTGAGTATAGTGAAAACACAAAAAAAATAAACTAGCTATAGTGTCCGCAGTAACGAGGTAATTGGATCAAAACAGTTCAATTTTGTCGTCGATTATTGTGAAAAGTCTTCTCTTAAAATATACTACTTTTTACCTCGAAGTGTTTCAGTGATATTTTGTAATCAAAAATTGTGGTTGGTCATGTTTAACCTTGTCTCGTTGTCCCTTCACCATATTCACTGTTCTTTGATACTGCAGTTTTCAGTGAAAAGTCAGAGTCAAAAGGTGATCATTGTTGAGAGTTTTGCCCGGGTTTTAACACTCACGTGTCAATGTCCAAGGAGTGAGCCCACAAAGATCGTGTGAGGAGGGGAGAGAAAGACCAGAAAAAGTCTCACCGCGTCGTGGCTCACCTGCAGCCACCGAGGGCCTGTGCACGATAAGACCTGGGAGGTGTCGGTGGCCCTTTGGGTAAGCCCTCGCTTCCTTCATGGCAATCTTTTGACCGGTGTCCCCATGTGTAATCGGTGAACTGCTACCTTGCAACTCACATTCTTTGTTGACATCCAAGTGAGCAAAAAATGAAGGTGACGATGAAATGACCATGTGACGGAGTAGAAACATTCGTTTGTTCACTATGTATTCGTCATAATTTCACTAACACATTGTTTACAGCAATAAAAAATTTCATCTGGTTACGGGTACAATATTGTAATGTAGTTTCCGTCAATTGTGGCTCCAATTCTTTTGTCTGGATTCATAATTTTTTTTTAATTCGTGGGCTAGAGTTAGTTTAAAAGAGGAAACACTCTGTAAACGTTTCCTAAAACGTTGTGGTTCAATTTACAAACCATACTTTAATCTCAGTAGATGCTAGAAGCATTGCTAACTGCGAGGTAATTGCATAAAGGAGGAGTAATGCCTTAAACAATCCACAGATTGGGAAATCAAGTTTAAGATAAGTCATCAAACATCGAGCTTACCTCTTTAAAGCAGACTGCTCATTTCTTCTTTCGACATAAGGGCACAAATTATGTTTTTTCGGTCATTGGAAATTTGCCAGAAACTATCCTGTCCTCCTACAAACGGGTCGCGTCTAACAAACACGAAATTTGGTTGGAAAATGTCTCCTGGTACTTGGTTGTAGACCCCGCTCTCAACGTAGGAACCAATCGACGACAAAATCACTTCACCAACTGCAAATTTAGTGAAGGCTGTGTGATTAATTGGGCCTGGAAGTGGTGGGAAGTCAGCGTCTTAAAGCGAGCATGTGGCATGCCATTTTCCAGAAGATGCCCCATATGGTGCTCTGTAGTTCTCAACACAGTTTTGTTAAGAAGACCTCTCACCTCGTAGACGCCAAATGCCTATCTTGTAAGACTGAGTCATTTATTGGCGATTCGTAGACACGTGCACTGCCGAGACCTTAATTTAGGTAAAGGAAACGACTTTGATTGCATGGTGGGCTTAAGAACCTCCTAATATTAAAGTGACGCTGCCTTTGTTGAAAAGTCAAGTGCCAGCGAGCGACCCGATTTCCACCTACGTTTGTATGAAGCACTTAGTCAAGACAAGATTTTCTGGGTCTTTTCTGAAGGCAATAACAGGTCTTAAATTCAGGCAACCAGAAACTTGTAAATTTCAGAATATCCCACCACCTTAATCTCGGGAATTGGCAACACTTTCCGCAGCCTGATGGCCAAACTTTCTATTAAACTAAGTGTTTTTTTACTCGTCTTCCAAATGGTCAGTCCTGTGCTTGATCTAAGTTATCATCGGACGTGTGTCGACACTGGCACCTCATTGCCTTCAAAGATCGGGATATTCCATTTGACTTGGCCAAGATCAGTTCAATATTATGCGTGACTGGTAAATTGCAATGTTGCTCCCCCGTCACATTTGTCACTTTCTATAAAGTTCCTGATGAAGGAATTGGAAGCCCAATCATTTTAATTGGAAGAGTTCTCAGTGGATTAACTGGGCGCCAGAACTAAACATGGTCTAGCAAGCATGGCAACGTTTATACCTCCATCTACCTCACTGTTAGAAGTACCGGAATAAGTTAACTGCCTTAGATTTAATCTGCATGCATTAAACCATCAGAATCTTTCAAGTGCTTACTGTTGGCATGTATAACAATTCATTTTGCTGTTAGTCTATTCTCTTTAATTGATACCTTTAAAAATTTGACAGTTCATACTAGTCCCTGCAAACATGGCAGCTTTTTGGATGGATTAACATGTTCTGGATTGATTTCATGCTTAGGAAAACTTGAAGTATGTTTACGTGTGATTTATTAGAGTGGCAGATTAAGTCTAAATAATTTCATTAACACGCAATCGCTCTTGTAATAACTCAATCTGTTACTGTATCTTTGGAAGAACTTCCCTCGACATGACAGCTTCCCCAATTAATTAGACAAATTCGTTATCAGAAATTACAGTTTATCACGCTTTGCTACATGCACAAGGTTCGTTTATCAGTAAAACCAAAGTAACGACAAAATCTACAAACACATTGTTAGGATTTTTTGATCTCTAAAATACTAAAAAAATTTAAGTGATCTTACAGAATACTTGATCAAGCTGGTCCAAATTTTCAAGAAAGTACTTTTCATTAATGCTAGAGGAGTACGGATCTTTACACAAAGGATAACGTGTTACTCAATAGGACTTTATTATTTATAAATACTTGCCTTTTTGGCATTGTTCGCTAAGCATAACGCGTAACGACAACATTTACCTGATTAATGAGTCTGGCTGACTGTTCTGGGCATCTACGCAATTGCTAATAACGAATAGACAAAAGTAGCTTCGAACTCTCGCTTGTTAACTACCTCTTCCCACACATTCACCGAAAAGGCCGTTTAAGCCTAGTGATTTGGATGCGGATAGATATTTGTCCTGAATTGTAGGCACTATCCTCAAAACTAACGATGGCAAAACTTGGAGTCTCATGAACAACATGCTTTAGCTGTTTGCTTTTCATCAAGAAGTCTGCTTCCTTGGAACTGCGCTGGTGTAGCGTTCAGGCTCTAGGCCAGGCTGACTGGTTCTGTTGGAGCATGTTCGCATTGCCATGCAGCGACATGCCGCAACAGGGCGTTGCTTTTCTGGGGTGTAATTAATAATTTTTGCCGATGCGACGAGCAAAAGCACGTTCGTTGTAATAGGCGTAACTTGTGTGTAGCCACTATGAGAACAACAGATAACGCTATTTTTCTGGTGTCACCTTTTGAGGACGACAAACAGCAAATGTTTGCAGTGTGCAATTTGGATTAAACCGGTACCTGAGAGCCTACTTCCACACACTAAATGTGAATGCGTATCAGAGCATGTCTAAGGTAGTTTGCCCACACACGAGACAGAGCCCACTTTCGGTTATACAGATTTCTTGACTGCTGGATGTGCCTTTGATGCGATTTTAGTACCATTCCGATCTAAAGAAATCCGTAGACAAGTACTTAGCACCTTTTGCCTTAATACCACACTCAAGAGAAGCACTCACTTGCTTGTTTGTCGTTGGCTTATTCACCCGTGGGATAGCTGAATTGAATCCTGACTGAGATTAGTTCACAAGCAAACAAGGATCGAACATTTGTCAGGCCTAATTCAATGTTGTGGTTCCCAGATTGAGGAAGTAGGCTGCCGCTTTTCACCAAGCTAACTTCCGCCCCACATCTACTAGTTTCTAATTCAATACTCCTCATACCTTTTAAAAGAGGTCAAAGAGAAGCCTTCTACAAGTGCCGCGATCACGTCACCTTCCTCAGCTGACACACACCCATACCCATTGACTAAGCTTTAGGGTAGGTCAATTAGGAGACTTATTCTCATTGCCATTTTGGTAAGCGCAGTCATACATAATTAGTTTTATCCGGTGGCTTTAACTTTTGTATGAAGGCCAGATATCTGTCTTTTCTCTCACTGTTCAAGGTCTTGTTAGCTAAATGTAAAGGCGACCTCAGATACTGCTAATCTCGTTCAATTCCATCTATTGGAACAATTAGTTGCTCTTTTAATTCAGTTACCTTGAAATTGCAGGCTAATTACCTTCACACAAACAAATTATCATAAGGTAGACGTTTAATTGAATCAGCACGTATTTGAACTGCTGTCATGCGTATGTTGGTTGTACAAAAGAACTCGGATTGCAAATTTACAGCCACCACTCCTTGTTTGTCCGCGCGTCGGGAAGGTCGGCGTCTGGTGCGGCCAGCGCCTCGTCCACGGTGCTCACGTGACCGGCTCCCTGCTTCGCCTCCTTGGTCTTGTAGTCACCCTTCTTTAGGGTGAAATTTCGACAGCAAATTATGAAGAGTGCTAGCATGATCAAAACCAGCAGGCTTCCGACCACTAAAATACGGAAAGCACAAAAGGATTAGAATGAGTCCAGTTACATGCCTTGAGGCTTTTGCCTATGGTTGAGCTGACTTGGACGGAGAATACACATGAAAAGGTTTACATGACGTCTTAACTGAACTCCGATCTTCGATCAAGTGCCAGTTAAATCATTGTTGCAGACGTCTTCAATGGCTTAATGTCAGCTTGCGATGATAGTGCCTTAGGGAAGCTTTTAAGAGTTCACAAGCCAAATCTGAGTCAAACTGTCGTTCGTAGCATGTTTTGCTTTCTTCGTCTAATTAGACTGAGGCAAAATGACTTCAAAGTCTGAAATACTTTTAAGAAATAAGCTCCTAATGATGCAAGAAGCATTCAGCCATGGCCAGATGTTCAAGAACTTAACTTAAATGCCACAGAACCAGCATTGCTGCAGACTTGTTGCGAAACCCAGCAAGTATTGCACCGCCATTCAGAAAGATACTAGCTAGAGGACTAATTTGACTCCCAGGCATGGTTTTATTAAGTCGTGGTGGTGGCAAAACTTCATCACAATCTTCCGAATAAAAACTTTCCGGTATTTGTTATAGAAGCGTTCGTCCCTTGTTCTAACCATCAAGTAAATTGACGTCTACCGATATTTTTCATTTTTGGAACAGCCCGTTCAAAGTTCGCCCTCGCACGAATTAACTGGGTCTTTTTTGCACCAGAATGTCGTTTTGCAGTTGACTGTTAGCACAATGCCACAAAAGCACAGGCTTCATGACGGCTTTTAGCGCACACGCACATCGCTGAGGTCGAATTCGCTGCCTATCCTTTTGCCACCTGTTTTCTCACCACAAGTTGCATTCTGTCATCGCGAGTGTAAATCATCGTCTTAAAGTACCCATGCATGAAATCTGTGGGTGTGCTCATCGATTAGGTTGTCAGGTTAGTGCTAACTAATCCCCTCAGGCTATATTTTTATGAAAAATAAACATAACTTGGAATAAATTAGTTAATGTTGCAACCGAAGCCCCAACAGGATATGCAAGTTTCTTACATGTACTATCAAAAACACTTGGAACAGAATTGGCCATTACATCTGCACGTATTTGATTCAAGGAGTTGTGTTTAACGTTGTGTAGAAGCTTTAATAAGCCCAAATGTCACGGAAGATGAAACACAAAGAGTGCTAAATTTTCATAACTAAATTGGACAAATTAATTGAGCTTAATGTACTGACTGCACCCTGTCCTACGTTAGCAATAATGCGTAGATACAGTTAGAGGCCATGTGATGTGTGCTTTACTGGAATTAAACACAGCAAGATATGTTCAAAAAATTGCATTTCTGAGAAGGGAGAGACGCGATTTTCCGCTTGCCTTCTATTTGATCTCCTAATGTAAGCCTTGTTTGACTTCATGGAATGGGCACTTGACAAGAGATCCACTTTCATTTTGCCAAATTAAAATGCAGTTTAATTTACGTACTCATTACATTATTGTTTGAACCAAAGACAAGACTTATTCGTAGGGCCTTTTGTGTTATTAAAAGGGCCTCAATATTTTTCCTCTTAGAGAGTTAAAATTGCGAAAAAACGCACCACCGAAGATCGTCCGCTGCTGAGTGAGGTCCTCAGTTCTGCCAATCAGAGTCAAGTTCGGCGGGAACGGGATGGGGGGACGGATTTCGATGGGTTCCGGGGCCGGCAAAATCTCCTCAAAGCCGCACTTATTCTCCGTCACCGAATCTGTTGGGTTAAGCAACAAACTTTCACCATTATTAAGCCGTTTTACATTGCAAGTAACATTGGTGATTCTCCCTTTTGGATGTAGTTGCTCATCGCTAGCTTCTGATAAGGGACATTTTTTTGAAAAAATCCATGACAATCACAATATCCTCAAAGAAGACTAAGCAGACGACAAATAGGTACTACTGAAGACAGGTTCAATTTGGTGGATGGATCAACTGCAGAAACTTTCTCAATTGTCTTTGTCATTTTTGCATTTTCAATCGAACAAGTTCATCGTTTACAGCCACATGTTTTTTTCATTGTTTAAAGAGGTTTTTAATGCATTGTTGCTACTCTTCGCCAATCCGCAGAAGAGTATTAGTAGTTTAAACAGTTAAATAGGTTCTGGTTCTTTAAATACTTAATATAACCTGCAGACATTTTTGTTGCTGGATATGCTGAAGTCTTGTCGACCACGCATGCCAACTTACTCGGGGGTTCAACATACACGAAGGGGTTCTTTGGGTCTTCAAAGATCATTCGAATGGGGAATAGATTGTTCCACTGCGCAGCATACATGCACCCGTCAAAGCCGCGATTGGGAGGCATGGACTCATTCCTACCGAGGTAAATGGCCTGTGGTTTGTCCAGCCTCGTATCCGCTGTCTCCGAAAGAATGTCGCTGAAGTCTTTTACAATCTCGGGATAATCGTCGACCTAGGAAGTGATGATCAATTTCATGTCATGTAATGATGTTCAATCTGAAGGAGCAATAATAGCTTGAGGTGTAGGCGCATGTTATTGTAGTTAAATCTGAATGTAACTGTCTACTAAATTCAAACAAGTAGCAAATAATGTTTAATAAAAATACCTGCAGGTGCCAGACTTGTCCGATATTCGTTCTCCATGCCTTAACAGTATGATGCTGATCGTTGGCCAAGTCAACAATATAATTTGTGGTTACTTCGAAACGCCCGAATCCGACATCAAACTCGATTGTTATACCGCCGTTATTGTTGACCCGAATAATGATGTAATTGGTCTTCCCAGCGCCAAGCATTTCCATAAGGATGCCGTTCTTGGATTTTGTTTTAAAGCCCACGGTTATGTACTCCTCCAGTGTGCCGAGGTTGTCACGAAGGTGCGTCAAATCGATCTTCACCATGGGCCCATTATTGAAAGTGCCGCCAACTTCTAAACTCGCAAACATAACAACCGTTTATACCCTGAATATTTTTACGACTTCCTTCCACCAATCTGCAGAGACCAAATATTCGATATTTTTTACTAAGAACGCGTTTATGAATAAAATTGAAGAATATTAGCTGAAAACAAATTTGGAAGCATCAGAATAACTTTTAACTATTCTAGGTTTCTTTTGTGATTGAAACTTACTTGTTGTGAATCGTGTTTATTCACACCCCGGTCGATCCATCTCCGGCACAGGGTTCCCCTTTTCGCAGCATATCGCCAGCCGCGCGGATCCTCAACTGCCCCCTCATTCACATGGATATTTATCTTAGATTATCCTCACACCTAGGTCTCAATGTTAGCGGACGTATGACTCACACATCCGAGGCATAAATACACACGCGCAAACCCCACACACGACACAACGACACCAGCATGCTTGAGCTCTGAAGCAAACAATTGTGTCCACATTCTCTCCGGTCTTCTTCTCCATCGCGGGTATTAGGCAAACGTAATCGAGCCCGAGTTAGTTCCGTGGCCCCGGCGTGGTTCAAGACCACATGCTGGGGCCCACAACATACTTGACCGGACCGTTAATCAATCCTAACTACTAGATAGTGGACCTCAATTGCCAGTGTACGAGTCTTAAAGGTTGGTAAAGGGTTTTTACTACGCGTGCAAATGCTTGCATTTAAACAGAAGTTTGTCATCCGCGTTGAAGCCTTTTTGAATTAGGTCTGATCCACACCCGAGCCACGAGTTAGCGATTCAAGAACACCAACTCTGCCTTATTCGTGCACTGAAAACCAATCGAGCACTTTTATTGGAAGTTGGCTGGACATTAGTCACCCTAAGGCCCTCTAAACGTGTTGTCTTCGACTGCCTAAGCAGCAAGACACGTTGGCTGGCTCTGTTTTCAACATGCCTTCCATTCTGGTTTGTGGAATACCAAACGATGCCAACCAGAATGCAAAATCGGGATCACTCCTCAGGCACGATGGAAATCACCAGCAGCTCTGAAATCTGTCGATTTCAACTGTTTTAGAAACTCGAAGTATCACATGGGATTCTTCTTCTCCCAATTAGTTGCATTTAATGCTTGTTAGCAAAAACAGGAAATAGGAAATTTATTCACATCCATGCCATTTTTTGTCGTTTGTCAGTTCATCCAAACCGCAGAATGGGGTGGCGCTGAACTCTCACATATCCGCGTTTGGCTCAACTCTTCATTCCACACACACACACACACACACACACACAATCGAGCACTTCGGCACAAACAGGAACTAGCGAAATGTCAACCCGGCTCCTGCCTTGAACCCGATCACCAGCTCCTTCGAGGTGACCTCGTGGCTAACGTGTGCAGCCCAATCGGCAAAAGCAATGAAAGCAATTTACTAGGTGACTCACCTCGACCACAAATGAATCCGCGGTAGGGTGTCAGTCCGCATTCACAGAAGTAGTGCGAGTAGAATTCAGTGCATACGCCGCGATTTAAACAGGGCTTGGTATCGCACTTCGGTTGGCATCCTGGTCTCAGTCCATAGGTTTTTTCGCCTCGTTCAACTATTCCGCGGATGTCTTGTACGACCCCGTTTATAAGAAGATTTGACAAACAACCAACGTAACCGTCTGTGAAGGCCTGATTAAATTGTTAGTCGGGTTAAAATATTAAGTTTACTAATTTTGAATCAGTAAACATGATTTTCTTACTTGGGTTGTGCCAACAAAAAGAGGTTGGTCAAAGTTGAACATTAAGAAGGAGCGTTCCTGGGCCTCAACAAGCACTTTGGCCGGATTTGTGTCAATGATTAGTCGTGACTCCTTGCGGTTGCGCTCCAGTCTTACCACATGCCATTGGTTATTGTTTAGCCAATAAGCTGTCGTCACCTCAAGCACTTGAAGCCCGTTACCAACATTGAAGGCAAATCGGAAAGCAATGCCACCTGTAGAAGTAATTGGAAGATATCTTCTTAGTTAGACTACAGTCATTATAAACATCGTTCGAAACATTTTAGAGAGAAATGATATTTGAAAATACAGATTCCCAAGTTTGGGAATCTTTGTTTGCTCCTCAGATGATTACATTTATTTCCAACCACGGACATTATTCGTTTAAATTCGACATCTGATTATAGAAAAATCACCCTAACAACCCTTTAAACACTTATTCAAACGATAAAACCAGGGATGATGCTGCGATTTTTCTTACTTAGGTCACTTAAAATAATTTTTACAAATCAATTCTGTTTTTGTTTCAGCAAACTCATTCCGTCCACTGTGTCTTTGTTAATGCTGGAGAGAAATCTTCTAACATCGAACTCGTGCCTGGTCTTTATTGGGTCAAGTTGTTAGATTTCGATTTTCTACGGAAACAAAATCAACCACAGTGAGTCTTGCGCTTTAAGAAACCATGTGTAGGCTAGCTTTAAGGTTAGATTGACCCACAGGATTCGGTGAGGTTGCCTTGCCTTCGGCTGCTGAAGGGTTTGATGCTAAAATCGTACGAAACTGGCAATGCTGCAATCCAACTAGCTAGTACATAGCGGTGGGCAATCTTGGAGCACTTAGGTATGCACCCTAGACCAGGAGGCAAGGCGCCTTGCCACACATATCAGAACAGACCAAGTGACTAAGGTATTAGGTGAGATGAGGCGAAACCAACTCACTTCTGATCCGCAGCTCAAAAAAATGGCCCGATTTTCTGCCTACGTTTTGCATCAAAACGGCGTCCTTGATGGTGGTTTTGAATAGGAAACTCATGTCGAATTCGTATTCCGCAAAGATGGAAGGTAGTTCGAGGTTGGCGTCGAGTTTGACGAAGGTGACGGTGTTGTCAAAGAAGAGATCCCCGCTGCACCGCAACTCCTGGATGCTGTACTCGGAGCGCTTGTCGTCAGTCAGAGTTCCTGTGTCGCCCAGGTACACCTCCCACACGGGCAAGTCCTCCTGCGGATAAACCAAGTCCTTTCATATAACGGCCACTCGCACACTGCAAACGGCTATGCATAATGCTGCCGCTGCTGCTTTGGCCTCGTCTCAGTCAATATATCTTAAGCGTGCATGGTCTGAAAACTCAATCTTTCTCTCATTTTCCACCATTTTTATTACCTTTTTCTTCATTTTTCTTAATGTGTTCGCTAACCATGAGAATCTTTCAGTGTGGGCTAAGAAACTCGCCTTTTGAATGTTAAAGTGGCAAAAGTAAACAATCACAAAATGTTTAACGCGGTTGAAATCGACACAGTAGGGATTCTAGCTTGAAGTCAGGAGACTGTCAATGCGTTTAATGACTCAACATTGCAGTTCTTGCAATGGATTATAAAAATACATTAGTTAATGGGACAAATGATAAATTATGAACAAGGTAACTAAGACAAATATTTAAAAAAAAGAGACTTCATTAGAGCGAAGTCTTAATTGCCCAACCAGCATGAAGGCCGCAAATTACTTTTGTTAGGGAAAGCAATTTTAAATGTACAGAGTGCTGGCAAAGCGGAAAATCTCAATTTCTACCAGCCATTTGCATCTTATGCCAGTTCCCATTAGCCTACAAATGCTCCAGTTTCCTCGTGACGACAAGAGCCAAACAACCGACTTACTTTGTACGTGAGAAGGCCGGTGTCGACAAGGGGCGGCGCGTCGGAGCCGTCGCTGTCGCAGTTGCAGGTCAGCGAGTTGCCCGTGCAGGTGTCGAACACCCCACAGTCGCACATTTTGAGCCCGGGAACTCCACCGCCCCAGTAGTAACGCGGCCGGCCCATTCTACTCACCCACCAGCCCCACGTCAGCTCTGTGCCATCTCCAAATCCTAGGCACAAATACCAGCATTACTGGACAGTTATAGCAGGCTGTGTAGTGACGCTCACAGAATCGTTTTGCTCAAACAGTTATGGATAAAGTTTACTGTACTAGCCTCTTGCAACACCATTCAGCTCCCTAGCAGGATATTTACATGACTCGGTCCGAAATGCAACTACAGCTCTTGACTAACCCCATCAATTATGCGCAGGTAACCCCATTTTCAAATCTAGATAATCTAGATTCGCGCTGGGCATCAAACAAGTAATACAAGTAAGACACTTCAGCTGTTGTACCTAGAGGAGTTGAAGGTAATTGTTGAATGACAGGTGATTGGCTGAATCCAGCATTTGCAGCACTTCTGCCAATTTAAATTCTTTGAAAAAACCAGAATGAAGATCAATAACAAAGGTGACTTTCACTGGCACTGGTTGATTTATATATTTAAGACCATAATACGTGTTGTAAACAAGTACGTCTGTATCTACACCCCTTTGTACGATGACCCAACATCTTGTGATTTACCATCACCAGCAATTTCCCAGACAGCCCAAACTGGCAATATCTGCGTGTTGTTAGATTGGTGTCTTAACCACTTTGCAGTTTGTATAAGTGAAATCGTGTCACACTCTAATGATCCCTGTCTACTGCTTGACACGGTGTGGTCATCACCGCTTACCTTGTGGCTTTGCCAGTAGTTTTGCATTCCAGCAACGGTAAGCCACCGACTGCTCGCAGTAGACGGCTCGGCGGGTTAGCTCCGTCAGAGCCGCCCGAGAGGCCCTTCCGTAGTTCAATTTCCGATGATAAGACCCGGGCGCCTGAAAGCCATCCACCAAGATGTAGCCATCGTCTGTGTGCTCGATTCGAGTTTCAGGAGTCGATTGGTCTAAACAGAGACGACGGATTTTACACGAACCGGTTACTGCGTAAATTCATCGTTGGGCGGTGCTGCGGACTCGCCTGTGAAGTCGCAGAGAACGGTGAAGGGATCCAGCACGCCGGAGCCGTCCAGATCGATGGTAACTCGTAGTTGCGGTGACATTTGCCCGTAGAATAGACCAACCTCTGAACACGAGGTGAAGAACTCGCTCTGGTGGCACACAGCTCCGGAATAACCGGTGTTGGTGCAATCACAAAAGAAAGTTGCCCCATTTTGAGTGCATGGAGCCTCGTGCTTGCAGGGGTTTGGGCTGCAGCGGTCGGTGATGTGACAACTCCCGTTGATTATCTCATCGGACCGACTTTCAGGGTCGAGTTTGGACCAGAGCACCTCTTGAGCGTTCACGCTGATTCTTCTCATACAACCTTGGAAACTAAATCGTTGAGGACGACCCCCACCAATGTAGAAAATCTTCTGGAAGTGTAGCTAGTTGAATGAGATATTTTTCAATTATTGAAAATGATACAAAGAGCCTACTTCTGCGTATTACAGAAAATCATTCCAAGATAACTTTGCTACTATTTTAATTATTGTGAACACTGTTTTCAAGGCAGACTGATTCAAGCCAAATGTTGTAAAAAAACGGTAGCTATCATGTTGATAACTTTGCATTGATCAAGAACTGAAATGAAAGAGGCTTCCTTCCAAGACCTGTAAGTTAGGAGTTATGAAGAAAAGCTAAAAATCATCCTTTTTTATAAGTGAAGAGGTCTACGTTCCAGTCTCTAGCAGGAATTTGTTTTAAAATAAAACTCCAAGCCTCGCATAATTTTTTTCAAAAATCAAAACAGACGCTACCTAGACCTGGGTGGGTTACACATTTTTTTATTAATAATCAAATGTACTTAATATCTGGTTTGAAATTGTCCTGGTGGACCAGCAGCGCGTCATAAAGGACAAGAAAACATCCCTGAAGCGCCTCGCTTTCATTTCACCAATTGTTCACAGATTTACTGACGCATGAGTTTATGGCCAACGTACATGAGCCAATACAAGTCATGCCTTGTGTACACTGTTTCACGTGTAAATTGGTACGGTGGATGTGTCCTCCATCCCACATTCGAAGGGTTACACTCGACGTGTTCTTTTATCACATGGTTTTTAATCACAGTTAACTAAACAGTGACTTTGTTCTCACTTTTACTATGCCATAGATATAAAGTCCAGGTGACTGACCGGCTCAAGAAAGGTCTGCTGTGCTATGTATTCTCGGCCGTCAACCAGAGTGCGGACCAGGTTAGTGGTTATTTCAAAGTCCACCGAGTGCCACAGTCCATCAGCAAAGGTTCCGTTCGGCGCGGCTGAGTCATTGTTGGGCATTGTGTAGGTAATGTAATTCACCCCAGGCAAAAGAACTTCTACCTGCAGATGGCCATAGACTGTCTCCATCTCAAACTGGAAAGAGAAACGGTTGAAATGGTGGGCTCACTGCAAGAGAATGTATAAAACCAACCAACTTACTGCTACAAAATTCTTGTCGTTGTCAACAGTGTGGTAGAAGAGAACTCCACCTTTGTTGAATGTCCGGAAGTCGAGAGAAAATGTCAGTTTGCTAGTCTCGCCGCCTCGCTCCACCTTGATGTACACGAGAGACTGTTCGATTCGCGGAAAGGTTATGACGCTGGGATCTGCGGTTGGCGGCAGGCAATTTTGACCTAGCACTCCAGTCCCGCCGATCTCAAATCCGCTGATGTTTAGCTGCTGAGTGGTAGTTGGGGGGCCCCACCAGAGTATGGGGTCTCTGGGGGGGTAACCGAGCGCGTCGAGCCAGTCCACCTCCGACCAGACCGCCTCTGACATGATGAGACCGGGTTTTGAACGCAGCGTGTCACGAATGACCTGCACACCGTTAAAGTTGAATTCCTCAATGCATCCGACAAAATTCTCCATCACAGTGACGCTTCGCTTATTTGAAAAACTCGGTACACCACCAATGTATAACTGAAATTGAAGGTGAATATTACGTGATTGCTTTTGCAATGTGACACCGCAAACAGTTATCTAACGTTTAATATTTAATTTACTTCAAATAAAGTGAGTCTGCCACTTTTCTGTTTTTTGCATGTTTTGTGAAATCTGGTAGCCAATAACAATCCAACCCATTTAAATTTTCAGGAAGGCAGTAATTATGACTTTCATAAGTAGGGAAAGTAAGTGTCGTCTTGAAGGACTTCTACCAATAGATTTCACTTTTATTTTAATCTAGAAGCCAATAGAGTGCAAATATTGTTCTCGTGTGTTAGTTCGTAATAAAGTTTGAACACAGGCTGTAGAGGCCCACAAAGTGGCATGTGAAACTTATGGTATTAATTGCTTAACAAATCTTGCACGTCAAAATTTATTTACACAAACTGAACTGATAAGCAATCTGATAGAATTCCGCGCAAGTGTGTGTAGAAGAATCTCTTTGAAAAGCCTTGCCTTTGATTCTTGGCGCATGCTTGGGACGTTGGTGGAAGCAAAAACCTGCTTTAGATTAATAGCGAACAAATGTCTGATCGCTGCAAATAAATGTATTCAGTACATCATGTGCACAGTTACCTAAATCACGTTTTTGTGCATAAAGCTGTACCTTTCTGTTCATATCCATATGTAAAAAGATCGCTGACAGATTTCGCCAAATCGATACGCCGTCTACAGAAATATTGAGATTTTTCTCTGTTCTAATGATCGAAACATCGTGCCATTGTTCGTCATCTAGCAAGCTTCCAGCGACCACAACATTGTCTGTTTTTCCTGTGGCCCAAGGATAAGTTCCAAGATTCAAAGAAACTTGAAGTCGAGCCCTAAATGTGTTATACGGATTAACCTCAGTATTAAGTAATTAATTATAACTTATTTTTGGAGCACTTTTACTTACCGATATAGTTCGACAGAAAAATAGTCATTTTGGCTGTCATCACCGTACAAAATGAGACCATTGACTTTAGATGTTCGAAAACGAAACTTGAGATGATCAACTGCAGTCTGGGTTTCTCTTCCTGAGCGATCAAGAAGCATCTCAATCCAAGTATTTCCATCAAACCTTGCGGTAAATGGACCTATAAATGCATAAATTAGTTGTCAGCCAAGTATTTATATCTTCGACCAACAGGACAACGATAACCCTGAAAGCGCACAATAACAACTAACGAAAGGCTAAACAGTTAAAGGCGCTTACTTTTCTATTCGAATAAGGCTAAATTTGCATTTTGAATAAATGAGTTATAGCAATTTAAGTATATTCGCATAGACACCTTGTGTCCATTAAATTAATTGTGAGTAGGATTTAAAAGAGCGACCAAATAAACTACTGCTTTTCGCTATGGACAACTGTTGGAGGTAAGTTATTTGTTGTCAACAAGCAAAATGCATAAAAAAATAAAATTACCAATGCCTTCTTGATATGTCGATACGGTGTATCTATCTACTTCCATGCTTCACAAAAGTATTTGGCTTAAAATCCTGCATTTTGAAAAACTAAAAAAAATGCTGAGCATATTTCTAAACTAGCTCTTATGACTACTTTTTTTGTTTTTGCTATATATTTTACTTACGATATTCGCATCCAAATAGTTCCATTCGAAGTGCAATAAGACCATGCCATCGTTGTGGATTAAGTCTTATGTACCTTGCCACTATAGGATGAGAGAAGACAACGGTTTTCACTGAGTTATCATCAGTGTTTCCATCAAATAACTAGATTTTTAATTTTTCGTTAACATATGAGTACTTGAGGTTCTCCAAGAGAATCCTTTACAACAGTCCATTGCACAGGAACATCCATATCAGAATAGTAAATGTAGTAGTCCTGGACCCATTCCCTTGCACCCTGTCGACCTTGGGTAGCAACCGATGTAATAACTGTTCGGTTAAGAAGGTCAACTTGAATCCATTGCTTATCATCATTGTTCCGGGCTACCCACGCTCCCGCACCCTCTTAAATAACGTTTAGGTTAAGTCATGAAAATGAAAACGTACGAACACTTGGATCATAGAGGAAAGCTACAAAGTCAATCAGTTAAAGGATATTTTACCATCTGATATATGCAACCGACCGTAAAATGGTCTGGTTTGGGATGAAAACCAGGATGATGCTGTAATTTGATCATTTTTTATTCCAAGATAGCGATTTGTCATTCCAAGTGGTACAACTGGATAAAATATGCATTCTTCTACAATTTTTTACATAGACGCATAATGCACACATACGTGAGTTATTAAATTTAGCAAGAAAAAGAAGAATTATAAGTATAATAGACGAAAACATAAAAAGGTGAATAATTCCAAAAAACGCGGTGTCAACATTTAGTAGGATGATTGGTTGGTTTAAACAGTTTGGTAAAAATTGTCGTGAATTGCTAATAGCTTTAATATTGAAAGCATATTATAGTATCCAACCTTAATTGTCACGTAAAAATTATTAGAAATTCTTTTAGTAATTCCATTTACTCCTAAAGTGATTAAAATTAATTCGTCCTGGACTAATCAAATGCGCAGATTCCGACGCTGGCCATTCGATCACCGCAAGTCATTCTGGGCTCTCTTTATTTGCCATTATACCTTCACGCATTTTCATTTTCCTCTATCTACATCCTATCTCCTCAAGCCGCACCAACTGTCCTGTTGATCAACCCTGATTTCCTCTTCGGCCATCCTCTCCTTTGTTCGACCCTAATGCTCCAACCTAATCATCTTTGTAGGCGGATGTCTGGAATCCACATTATCTCATCTATTTTCTCTTTCGTGTCTATTGTTCAAGCTTGTTTGTGTGGTTATCTTCTAGAAACAGGTTAATAGTA